AAATCCAATTTAGAAGAAGACGTTGTGAATACTGTAAAAGAATATGTAAGTCCTAAACTTAAAACAGGAATTCTTATAATTGCGGCCTTAGAAATGTATTCTATCATCTCTTGGCCGAAAATGAAAGAATCCAAAAGTAAATTTAATAACGAATTTATAGTCTGTGGGCAAACCAAATATGATAGAAATCCAGTTAAACAAAGATTTAATGTCGTTCCACCGCCAGCAAAGCCCTTTGATATTGTTTATCTTGATTTTTTAGTGTAGGAAATCAGAAATATCTTACTATCATAGATGCTTTCTCAAAATACGCCCAGGTTAACTCCCTTAGAGATTCAACAGCAATCAGTATAATTCAAGCCCTTTTAAAAGTTAGCACCCATCATGGTTTCCCTATGACAGTAGTAACAGACAGAGGACCTGAATTTAATAATCAATTATTTTTAGAATGAGCCAGATTATGTACACATCGATATCATAACAGGACATTTAGATCCTAGAGATCCACTAGCTTAGAAAGTGGACCTGGAATAGTGCCATTCAAATTAGGTTCCTCCAAAGTAATTGCCCATTATCATTTATTCCTTCAGTTGATTGATCTAGATATTATAAGAATTAACGTTGAAGCTGTAAAAAATCAAATGATTTATCTCACACCAGAATTGCATAATAAGACAAAATCACTTGATGAACCTCACATAGAATACTTACAAACCAAAATCGATCGAATGCAATCGTTTGAGTCCAATCGCGTTAAGAGAGGTCTCATTAACGGATTAGGCTCGATCATAAAAATTATATCGGGAAATCTTGATTATACCGATGCAATTCACTACGATAGCGCTATTAAGATTTTGCAAGAAAATGAAAACAAGTTAATCTTGCCAGCCAACTAATGTCATCTTGAGGACGGCAGCGCCGGAACAACTGAACAACAGAAATTACATAATCAGCCTACCTACCCCAAATAAAGTAAGTACATCTTGCACTGAAAATCAGTATTGTTCCCACTGAACAAATGGTCTTTCCCGTCTCCACAAGGTTATCCCTGCTCAAATCCACTTTAGAGCCACTAAGTTTGTCCAACTCCCTTCTCAGTTCCTCCACCTTGAGCATCAAAGACTCGTTCTCTTCGTTGAGTTTCGAGCTTTAAGGAGACCAGCCTTACGGAATAAATCGCCCCTCCCTTAAAAGATATTCCTGGTTCAGCAATATATTACTTGTACTCCTTAATAAAATTTAGTCTGATCGAATACATTCCCAATGTATTATCCCCCTTCAGGAGTCCGTCGTATGCCGAATTAAATCTTGCAGCAAAATCAATTTCATTAACCTTCTCGTAAGCCCTTCTGGCATCATCCCTCATGAGTTTATTCTTCTCCCTAACGTGGTTATCCCCACCCAGGACCGCCTAGCAAAGGTAAGCCCCCCCGGTCCTGCTCAACGCAGGATAAAGGGTCGGCTGGTAGTTGTCCTTAAAAGGACACCCACCGCTCGAGGCACCACGACATGGCAAGCCCACCGCCCTCGCTAGCACGGCCGCGTCTACCCGGGTCATTCCCCGAGACGCCCGTCCAGCCCGGACTGCGTCGCCGCTACTTGACATATGGTCAAGACGCCGACCCTGAACCTATCCTCACAAGAGTCAGGGACTCAGAACCCCGACACCCACCCACCCCCGAAAGAGAAGCGAAGTCAGGAACACAGAACCCCGACCGACGACCACCCCAGACGACAAAGTCAGAGACGAAACACGAAAGTCCCACACGACGGCCCTGAAAAGGGCCAACACGGAAGGACGAACCCACCACCTCCCTGCACATCAGCCGCTGTGACCGAAGCCACTACCTCCATCCGCCACCCGGGGGACACGCTTGGTAGCAGGAATACAGCAAAACCGCCGCAAGACTACCTCATTACCTGAAAAAACGAAGCGCAACAACGATCGCAACGGAGCCAGAGTCATTTTGGTTTTTTTTAACATACTACGGCTGTAGCCTTCGCAATTAGCGTTTTCCATTCTTCCGACATCAGCAAAACAAAAACGGAAAAAAGTCCAACAGTAAAACAAAAACGTAACGAAAGTATTAAAATAACATAAAATCGTACAACAAACGAACAAACGTGTAATCACAACGCGTAGCGAGGGACGACTAACTTGAATGACGTCTTTGTCTTCGTGATCCCTTTTCATTCTGTCTCTTTTACTCTCTTTACTCTAGCGAATGAAAGAGATAGAATGAAATTTTTACCAAATTTTACCTGCGTCATTCAAGGGTCTCGGATGACAGGGTGATATTTAAATAGTTATAACTTGTAAACTATTTTACTTGGAGCTTCGGTTATTATATCAGTGTTTAGGTAATGTCTTCGGGTACCTAAGATGTATAACAGTTCGTTTTTTTTTTTTTAAATAAAATGTAAAAAAAACAACCAAATTGTATAACACTTTTTCAAGTTTCAAAAATTTTTTGAGGGAGTTATCGAGTTATGGAAAAATAATTTTATGTCAGCTAATTGCCTACTTTTGTAGCTGTCTAACGATTAATTAAAATGGCCGCCATTTTAAAACAAATGGGGCAAAATGCCTAATTATGATGCATTTATTTATAAAATCGATTATACAGGGAGCAACAAAATGACCGACACAGTCGAAAGTTTCAAGTTAGGTTATATGCAAACGTTCATTTTATTTGACAAATATTTCAAAATAGAGGACGTGTAAAAATGGAGTAAAAGTTTTAAATTTCGAAGTGTTGAGAGCCCTATAACGCGCATGCGCAATATATTTTGTGCGCAGATAACAACGGACCACGAAATACATTAATTTAATTTAATTATTTACCGATAATTTAATGTTAGTCGATGCAGAAAATATCCAATTCTAAACACAATCTTCACTAAACTAAACTTAACACTCAAGACGAACACTGTTGTATCTTATTAACAAAAATTTAATTAAAAATGCACTAGAACAAAACAAAATTCGACAAAAAGTCGCTTCGAAGCGGTAAGGTGGCAGTGATGCAATAACGTGCCTCACACGCAAATGTCCGGTGGAGACTGAAACAAAGGCGCCGACGCCGATGGAACAAAAAAGCCACGCGCACGGTGAGTGAATGGAGTGAAGGAGACCGGTTCGCTTTGCCTTTGATAACTAGGGACGAATTCAGTTTATCTATTTTTCGAATTCGTATTTTATTACCACGCAATTGTTTTTGAATTTTATTTTTAAATAAGTAACCAAACCCTTACTTAGTGTTGTTATGTTAATGGATGATGTATTAGTACTTTTATTACTTTAATAAAAAATAACTACTTTAATAAACGATCGTGTTATTTGATCCATTTAGTTAATTTTTTTTGGAAACTCTGACTATTAGAAATAATGTAGTAACGTAATGTAAATTAGTTAACATTAGAATAATCTTTTTACAATTATTTATTAAATGTTAGTCTATTAATTAATTTCAGCATTTTGACTGATTCGTTTAGAGATAGTCAGTTTGAAATTGTTAAAAAACAGTTAACTAACATTACTTAGTTTTCGTTTGAGATTTTAGTTTTTTGATGATCAGTTGATAGCAGTTTGATAAAACTAGGACTATTTGACTTGCAAAATTTAAAAAAGTAGGTTATTGAGAATAATCAGCAGGGGTTTTCTGCTTTTTTCAAATCAGAAACCGGCTGTTAGTCTGTTAATTGATTTAAGCATTTTGACTGCCTTGTTTAGTGATTGTCTGGTAGAATTTGCATGAAAGCAGTCTTATAAATCATAAACTAGTTTATTTCGTTTTAGAAATGAAGAAGTCAATGACCGATTAAAAAATTGTTCCTTAGTACCTCCCAAAAACAGCTGACTCAGGGTTGAAAATACTCATTTTTTCCAAAAACTTTGTAATTTAATATCTCCGAAACTATTTGACCTAGACATATAATTTTTTTTACATAATATTAAAGACAAATAGTACTCTCCAGGAACCCCGGGAGTGTCGGCCGTTCTGTTCCACCGAGTATAACTTGGCCTTAATGGGTCGGACACCGGTGTTCAGACACACTGTATATCAGTATAGATAAAAAATAATTATATTTATTACGTTTTTAAACCTGCAGCTGAAGATGACAGTATCTTGCGAGTGTATAAACTGGATACGTTGTTTTTCAAATTGATCAACGCCATCAAGAGTCGCAGCGACGAAGGATTTCCCAAAGGACTCACTAGCGCTTGCTCAACTGAAGAAGGACCCCTTTAAATACACGCCTGGACTCGGCTGTGAGGTTTGTATGACGTTTAGGTGGATAATCTCACTATTAACATTAAATTTGACTATTTGTATTGTTATTGTATATGAAAAAAAAATTTGTTTCACCCATGTCTATGCCCTAGCAGTGGTGCTATGAGAACTCAACTTTATTTTTTAATTAAATCTTCAGAAGAGTCATACGAAGTAGGTTAGATATAACATTTATGAACATTTTTTTTTTCTTTTTTGAAATCGTTAGATACCTATTTTGAGAATTAGACATTCTGAACTGAAAGGTCTAACAATATCAAGAGTGAATAGGCTGTTACTAGGCTAATGCGCTATACCACCCAAGGCTTCATCACCACTTACCATCAAGTGGAATCGTAGTCAAGCGTTATCGTATAAAGAATCAAAAAAAATATGGAAATGTATCGAAATGTTTGGATACCATTGTGTGTAGATCCACGAGGAGACCGACAAGTGTATAGAGTGCAGTACGTCTCGCGTGAAGCGGTGGGCGTACACGGTGCTGGACTCGTGCTGCCCCGTGGCCGCGCTCGAGATGCGCCCGGGGGACCACATGCCCCACAACACAGACCTCGATGTACGTATATTATGTATAACGTGAAATATTCATATGTGCCAGGTTTCAAATCGAGTGAGAAAATTGGACGCTTTTATTTATATAGATATTAAAAGTTACCAGTTTACATATACTGCTGTTATCAGTAAATGGGTCTTAATATGTTGTTTCTATCTCTAAGATATAAACTTTGCTGGTCATCCGAAAAGTCTTAAAAAAATATTATTCTTTAAGACAGCAGAGCTTTGTGCAATATATATTCGATTTCCATCTCGGGGTGCCTTTGACTGGACATTTTTTAAAAAACTTAATAAATCACACAAACTTAAAGAATACTTAATTTACTTATATTTTTTTAAACTTTTATAATAATTTTTACATTAACATTTAATTATGTATTATTATTTATTTAATCTGACTCGCATTAGACTGTAACTTCATGCGGATGCTCCTCAACTGTCTCCAATCTTGTGTCTCTTTCTGTCATTGTCTGTTCCTCGGGCACTGGTACGGGAGTGAGCGGGATCTCTACAGTACTATTGTCCGTCTTCATTCGATCGTCGCCATCTTTATTGTTCGTGTTGAAATCTAGTTTAGTTGATTCGTTTTGATCTTTCATCTCTTGAATTTCCACCATGATACTTCTGACCAACAGCAGCAAGTATATTTGGAAAACTGTAATATAAAATAATAATTGTTATTTTATAATAGGGAGAATATATGTATTATATTCCAGTTTTAACTTTTCAAAACTCACACATGCAATCCATAACACCGATAGATACGTCATTATTTTATAAAATACTGAAATATGAAGTAAACTGAGCGAAACACTGGATTCTGGCGAAATCCACGAGGGCAACGCCATTAATTAAAAAGAAGAAGAATATTGTTTCACTAAGTTATAATTAGAGTGTCATTATACCTTATACATAATAAGAGTTTAAAATGTCGATTGATAGTTGATAACTGACGTAACATTTATGTTTTGGACAACTTTCGGACTAACTAGCAAGAACTCTAACCATAAGATGCATCATAGCGCTGTTACAGCGCTATTTAATAGAATAGAATAGAAACCATTTATTTTGACAACACACATCACGTACACAATATACAACTTAAAAAAAATAAAATAATAATAATACTAATAATAAAATAAACATGAAAAAAGAAGAGAAAAGACAATACAATACTCTGTGCCATGGTGTGGGTTGTCAAAGCTGGCCTCAGTTCAGTACAAGCAGTAAGCAGAGCCTACTGCACTGATATTCTGCTGCGGCCAGCAGTGACACCACGTACAGACCAAACACAAAAATGGGATTAAAACATACAAATAGTTGCAACAAAATAAATAAAAAATAGTAATATTAAAACACATTATTTAAGGTTTCGTTTCGTTTTACTACTTTGACATGCACTTTAATAAGGAAGCATCACCGGCGGTCTTAGGGGAGGGGGTCGGTCCGTTCCGGGCCTGTTCCTGGGGGCCTCCAGCTAAGGCTGGGGGGAGGTATAAATGCAATATCAAATTTCTGCCCGGTTGGGAAAAGTTTTGGGAAGCACCAATGATAAATATAGCACTATATAGTTTGACAGTAGTGTTAGCAACTTTATTCACCAAATGTGAAAGTAGTAAAATGAAACGAAATGTCGTCCTAATATTCAATAAGATGTCGTAACCGATGACTAAAGAGTTAGGTGTTCACACGCCATGTTTGTCCTTACTTATGCTTGTCACGATGAGTATAACAGTGAGCACGTCGACGGCCGCCAACACGATGGAATAAAGCATCGCCGATGCTATTATAGCAGTTATGCAGTAATATGTGAACAGCCTCAGTAACACCAAGTCTTTCTAAAATGAGTACACACAAACATTATAAACCTTAACCAAAAATTATTAAGTTTTAATCCGCTATAAGAAACTGTAATATTTCTCCAGTTGATTTTAAACCTTAATGCCTTGTTTGTAGAGTCCAAAATCAATTGACAAGACTTAGTTTTATAGTTAGAGGTATATTTACAGTGGGTAAACCACATACTAGCTGTTTTGCCCTCGATAATAAATAATCAAATCTTAAATGTTTATAATATTAGGTATAGATAACTTACCCTGTAAACAGCGCATAGTAGAATAACGTTGAATGCCAGTTCTGTGGCGTAAGCTAGAATAGGGATAGGCTTAGAAACGAAATCTTCTATCAACGTCTCTTGTACTTTTAATATGGTCGGTGAGTAACTGTCATTTGCGATGCCCACTAAAGAAATAAGCTAGAAGATACACGAGAATTAATTAAAACTTAATTATCAAATACAGACAGTTGCACAAACGTCCATTAAAATTTTAATTAATTTAAAGGGACAATACCCATAGAAATTTGACATTCATTAGAGCTTAATGGTGTCATTAAACCTTAATGGACGCTTGTGCAACTGACCGGTAGGTTATTCTTTCAATCAATGGTGCAGTCAGCAATTCAAAGTTAAACCTTAATATGATGATAGATACATTTAAAATTTTATGTAACGTGGTGTGCTGTATTCAAACCTCACTTTCTATTTATGTCAAGTTAGTCACGATTTAAATATAAAGGAAAATATTCATAATTAACTGTTCCCGCCACTACGTCCGCATAAATTATACAATTTTTCCGAGTAAGATGAAGCTTCCCGTAGTGAAAGAATTCTAAAAAAGATTTTCTAAGAGTTTTCTTAGTCTATAAGTTGACAGTTATTTGTTGAGACTTGTTACCTCTTCACAAAATAGATTGTAAGCAAGACGTGTAATAAAAAATTAAAACCGAGTCTTGTGGCATATGTACAATTAACGACACACCAGTTTAACAAAATATAAACTATTACAAATCAAAATATAACAAGTTAAAATTAAAGTTCAAAATCTATTGCTAAAATTTGTCAATTTTGTAAGTAATAACTGCGTTTTTAACTTTACTGAAAATATTTTAAAAATTTAAAGCGTAACGGTCATATCAAACTCATGCAGGATTAAGTACCTATAGGTACAGAATGTTTTATAATTTTTTAAGTAAATATTTGTAATAATGGAAATTGTGCATTATAAACATAAAAAAATAACATACCGATATCAAAATATTCACATACGCTATAGCGAGAATTCCTATTTTAACAGGTGCAATAACCCAACAGCAAGTATTCAACTTGAATTTCAGCACTAAGTTTTCAACATATTTATAAAACTCCATAGTCGATTCCATGACACTATAAGGTGGATAGTTCACTTGTCCACTACAGCATTACCACAAAATGAAACAAAATGGTTTGCACGTAAAAATTCAGAGTTTTAATTAGGATGTCGCTTAATTAGAAGGTCAATAATTGAGTTGATTGTGTGATGCAATAAAACGTTGACGCAAATATATAAATAATATTTTAACTCGCTCAAGTTGGACTGTTGCTGAGGCAGATATATGATCCCATAAGGATAGATATAAGCAGGCCCGTCTTTACTATACAGGCAGTGCAATACACCCGGGAGCCGCGCGTTGGGGGGTGCCGCGCCGATTATGGTCTAATATTGTAGTCTTCGTCGATGACTTCGCTTTTATTACAATAATTTTTATATTTTTCAACCGCTGACGATAAATGAGTCTTTTGAAACACTCGCCGCTGTCGCACCACCAAATTTAGTTTTTTTTTTTTTATATATATATGTGTAAAAAAAATTTCAAAACCTTTTCCCTGTAATGGGGGGAGGAGGCGGCGCCAGAGCATTGCTTGCGCCCGGACGCCTTGTGCTTAAGACGGGCTTGGGTATAAGAAAAAATAAACAATTACATACTACAAATCTTTAAAATTTGCTCATCTTGCAACTTATCCTACAAACTGATTTTTAGTAGGACTCGACATTTGGTTATTCTCTTGTGGTGTAGGTATACTTTCTTGGACCTGACACCTTGTATAGACAAATCAAACGAACCCTATTTCAACAGGGATGCGTTACCTATGTAATTTTAAATTTCTTATGGCCACCTTTCATTCGTATCTTCAGACTAGGTTCCTGCCCTTTTTTGACAAGATGGCAAAAAGGACAAGAACCCAGTGCCGTTAAAACATTAAATAAAAAATCTAATCATCAGACTCGGGATATTATATCTCAGACCAAAATCCTTGTAACAAATCAAACGAGGCCGAATTCAATGCGGTTGCTTCGTGTAATTACAGTGGTCCCATGGCTTTATTCCGGTTCCACTATCAGAGCTATTGTCATCTAAGCTAGGAATTTATGAATAAAATACCGGGAAGTGCGTCTTTAGCTTGCAAGATTTGACCCACACTAACATGGCAAATTAAATAAAAGCTGGTACCTAAATATCGTACCCTAAATAAGAGACAAAATTGTTTCGTCAGACAACAACACGTCAGGTTCTACAAACATGTCAAATTCATTTCACTTGATTTTAAATCTTCATGCATCGACGTAGAGTTGAAAATCAATTGCGGATTTTTGACATATGGTAACTTTACCGTGTATTGCTGCAACGTGACATGAGCTGTATGTACCACATTTGTTACCTACACCAGGGATTTACAAAATGGAGAGAAAAAAAATGTAATTCAGCGGTAGTTTTTTTGTATTGCTTAGGGACAATTTATGAATGGTTACATGGCTTTCCTTATTTCACTTCGATTGTAACCTCGTTTGGTGATTCGTTTACAGTTTCTAATGTTTCATCTCCCTCTATCCTGTTTTCTTCTATTTGTCTGTTTTTTTTTCTTTATTTCACTTCGATTGTAACCTCATTTGGTGATTCGTTTACAGTTTCTAATGTTTCATCTCCCTCTATCATGTTTTCTTCTATTTGTTTGGGGCTTGGACTCGTGATTTCAACACTAGGTTCTTTAATTTGTCCATTTTCATCTTTGGCGTGTGAAGTGAACACAATTTTCGTTGGTGTTTCTCCAATTATTTCTACGATGATGCTTCTCACCAGCAACATCATATAGCAGTCAAATACTGAAATGTTCAATTAAAATATCGCACACCTAGATCTAAACTGAGACAACTCAAAAATTTGAGTGAGTTTTGACTACAATTAAATTACTCGGTGATCATACGCATCTATCCAACATAACAGATTCAATAAAGGTTCTGGGATGAGCCGCTAGATAACTTTAGTTTTCTTTTGTTGAATCATCAGTGGTAGTGCTCCTGCCACTTAAACAAATGTATTGCCAGACCTCAACATTAGTTTTTTGAGTTGTCTTAGTTTAGATCTAGGTATGCGATATATGGACGATATGATAACATTAGAGCGAGGTCTTATTTTTGCTTTTTTGGGCTAATTCAAGCAATGCCTGCTTCATCTGCAATCGTTAACACCAAGCAATTTGTACCTACTTGGTGGCGATTATTATAGTACGTCCTCCTTATTTATATGACTCCTTATCTATATGAAAAATAAAGTCTTGAAAATTTCTAACATACCACATAGCCGTTTACGGAAACTCAACTGCTTTTATTAATATGTTATTATAGAGCAGCTATTTTTCCGCGTAAATTAATTAAATACTGCATCAATAGCATGAAAGAATTTTTCGTTTCAGTATTTTCGAAGACTACCAACAAACGAATAAACTCTTTAAAAGCTTTCCGCCAGTGGCTTCGCACGCGTGGTCCATAAGAAACTGTTTATTTGGATTGACAATGAGAAACTGAATAGTAAACAATGGTTACTATGGTAACATTTAATTTCCCTACACAAACTTTCACTTTCGTTTTTCGGGATAAAATATAGCCTTTGTTCATCGCATATGACGTAGGTTCCCGCAGGTTAAATATAATTAAAATCGGGGAAGTAGTTTCGGAGTCTTTTGTTGCAAACAAACATATCTTTCCTCTTTATAATATTGTAATATTAGTTTATAAAAGAAAAAGAGCATATATCTACTCACGTGTGGTTATGGCAGTAATAATGCCAATCGCTAGGCCGCCATCCTCAGACGCCTCTATAATGGGTGCTAATACAATTATCGTCACAGTAATCGACGCTATGCTGTAGTATATGAAGACTCGAAGCAAAACCGTAATTTTCTGCAAGAAAAATAAATGTTTCTTTTTGGCTGATGCAGGCTGCAGATCACAAATTTGTTCTCTGTTGTATAAAATTGGATGTTTTTCAATATTAGCTATTAGTAAAGCGAAGTGAGTAGTTTTTGTCGTTAAGCAACTTTCCGAAGGGTCGGTCACGGGATGGGTGACCAAAAATATTTTTTTCTCGATGTATGCCGTGCTTCGGAAGGCACGTTTGGTCCAGGCTGCATTTGCAGTCGTTAATACCCTCCAAATCCGCATTGAGCCAGCGTGTTGGGTCATGGCCTGAGCCTTTGCAGTGGGGACGTAAAAGGGCTGATGATGCAAGTTCAGTTCATAGTCTATCACCGGTTGACAAGCTGGTCAATGGTTTATGTAGGGTAGATGAGCCGATTTTGGACCTTTTAAAAGTTAAGACAAAATGAACTGTCATGTATCGCAGCTAGCAACAGTATAAGGTTTGCCATAACCCAACATTTAAAGACGGTAAAGTAATGTATTTGCCTATATGTAAGTTAAAAAGCCTCAGTCCCAAATAGCCAATAGCCAAGTGTCCAAAACCAAAGGGCCCCTCCTGGCCAAAGATTTAGGAAAGCCCATGATACTATTTTAGTAGGTAAGGTATAAATTACTAACTTTATTAACAGCGACGAGCAGCAGTACGTTGAAGAAAATCTTAGTAATGTTAGTAAGTTGGTGTAAAGTGGACCCTTCACTCGACACCAAGTTTTGCACCGCTTTAGCGATGGGCGAAAACCGTCCTTCTGACAATAATGAAACTGCCTGAAAATTAATATCCAATATAAAACTATTGTCTATGTATAACACTGGGTTTTAATAGTTAACACTGGATTCAATAAAAATGCATCCAACATACAAAATTTAGACGCGCTCAATGGCGCGGTGGTAGCATTCCTACTGTTGAGCCGAGAGTCGTGGATTCGCTCCCCACCCAAGACAAACATTTTTGTGATTAAAACTAAAGATTTCATTTTAATATTTTTCATATTCATTATCAGTTTTTTCATTAAATACTTTAAATATTTATCTTCCAGACATATAATATCAAAACGTATAATATTATGAGCACACCTATGAATCGATAACACGATTTAAAGGGATTCGACAGTAAAATAAAAATAAATGGAACTTATTGTCGCTACATTAAAAAGCATTGGCGAGCCGATGGTTGCCCACCCCTGTTATAGATCAATTCAGCTACTTACAGGTAATCTTGTTTAGAACTGAAACTTTACTCACCGCTAGCAAAAGATTGAAATAAGCTATAATATATATGCCTATTTTCACTGATGCCAGACAGCAACATGTTTTCAACTTAAACGTCACCAAAGAATATTTTAACGAATCACAGCATCGAACACAACAGCTGACCATATTTTATTCACTTGTATAACTGCAGTCGGAAAAAATACAACTTTTCGCGGTAACATTCGCACATGTTCTCTTTTATTTGTATGAATACAAAAATTCCATTCTAATTAGGAAGTTGGTCAATTAAAAGGCCAATAGAAATTAGCCGGTTAGCCGGACTGTGAGGGAACAATACCTGTGTATTTACAACAAGCCACTACAAGAAATAAAAAAACGAATTAATTCAAATATTATTTTTAATATTAAATCTGTTTTATGTACACAATATTATTAAATAAATTAAATGAGTTATAATTGGATATTTATTTGGGCAAAATGCGATGGGATCAGTATCTAAAGTATCAGTAGTTTTTATATCAATAATTATTTTCACAGGACAAACTTACAACTGATGTATGTTATCTATGTGTAAATTAAGCAGGTTTATGGAAAATATTTCCCTTGTTTAAGTATTTTGTATAAAAAAATGAATGAATTGGTGATATTGTATCCAACGTTGATTTTATCGAACCTAATGCATAAACAAGGCACAAAAGCATAAATTCTAAAGTTAACCTAAGTTCAATCAACCTTCATAGTGAAGGCTGTCATTATTATTTTAAAGAAAAGTTCCAGCTGTGTTTGAGGATAAATCAATACAATAAATACCGAAGCCCATTTAAAAGCTTTCACATATGATTACTGGAGACGCTAATAAAAAAATTGGTTCTCGATACAATGATTTTCTGCTTGCCTTTTTTATTAACATAATCATTATTATGTATGAAGGTTACATTATGTATTATTTAGTATTTAAAAAAAAAGCTGAACAGTTTTATATAAGCTTCGTTATTATTAGAACGTATTTGTAGTAAAAATAGGGTTGTGTGTAATCCAGTGTAAAAAATCAACTACTTTCATATGTTTTATTCTTTCCCTTGCAGTCTTTTTTTTGACAACGCAATAGAAATGTACCTTAAGCCTTAAACAAGCAGTGTCCGCATAACTCTCTAGCCATAGGATACGACATCATAGCGTTGTTATGACGATATATCGTAACATTTTTCGTTTTTTTTTTTTTTGTTAAAATTCGTTATTTTATAACGTGCTGCTGTGTTGACGGACACGAACTTGCGCTAGGAAAATTCCCACCATATGAAGATATTTATAATTATTTATTTACATAATAAAATTAGTCATTATTGTAACATTAAAAGTCGTTAATAATTCAACAAAAACCAACATATGTACAGATCAGAGAAAAAAATAAAAATTCGACATTTATAAAAAAATAAACATTTATTCAAATCAAAAATAAAGATGGTAGGTACATATCACTTCACAGGTCTTAAACATAATTATGGAATCATTTTAACGGAATAAAAATATTACAGGTAATCATTAAAACCATTGACCTAATTATAAAGCCTTAGAAAACAATATTTCTTTAATAAAATTGTACTAGGTATATATTAATTTAATAACAATTATAACATAACTATGTGATAGGTAATATTTGAAAACAATATTAGATATTTAATAAGTGTTTGACTTAACAGAAAGTTATGCAGAACTATAATTTTTACCAATTTTAAATCTTTATACTAATATAATTGGTGTTCATGTTTAGAATTCTATTAGAAACAAATAATCGAATTACAAGACTATTGCGTCATTTCTAAATCAAATATTTTTTTACTTTAAATGTTAATCCATAAATTACCCATTCCCGTTTTTTTTTTCATTTTGATAATCCAGTTAAACATAATTTTCTCAATAAAATATGATTTAAAAAAAATTGAAATCAAAAAAATGCGATTTTTCAACTAATTTTATAATTTCTAATTACGGAAATAAGTTTATTTTACACTTCATTGTAATGTTGCCTATCATTTTTAACAAGCTCATGTTTCCAGGTATTAAAGAATAGCATCGCATCAAAATTGCAGTAACAAATATATAATTACGTGTTTCTGATAAAAAAAAAATCATTCAAGTACTACGTAAACACCAATGGCAGAATAACGAAAGCAATGTCTCATTAGAAATTTCGATTTTAATTCGAAGAAGTAAGCAGTAACTTTCAACTAATATGTTTCACCGAAGTACCTGTGTTGAAGGCTAAATTGTCAGTCAATGCGGTTTGAAGTATATTAATGACTGCAAAATGCAGCCGGGACCGCTAACGTGCCATTCAAAATACGGAGTAGCTCGAGATATTTGGTCACCCATCCTGTGAACGAACCTTGCTTAACAATGACGATCGCGGGCCGCAGCGCTTATCCACTACGCCACCGAGCTACTCAAGCTATAAGCGCCATATTAGTTAGAACTTACTGTTTACGTTGGAAGCAGTTTTGCTTACTATTTTGAGGGAGGTAGATAATTGAGTTATAATTTAATTTATTTATAAAGATTAGCTAAATTTCTACTTACGTAGTACTCAAACGATTATTGAGTATAAAGTCAGATGCAGTTTTGTTTCGGTATATTAATAAAATAAAACTTTTCTAGATGTACACACAGCATATTAGGTTTCTACAATAGGTCACCGCATTAGTTTCTGTAGTTTATTATCTAGATATTAAGGTTCAAAATGCCATAAGACTTTTTGTATAACCTAACGTGCAGTAGTCTGTACCTAAATAAGGACCCGTCCGTAAAATTACGTCACACGTTAAGAAAGGGCAAAGTCTGTCTGTGTGGGAAGGATACTAAATTTTATGACGTCACATTTCAATGACCAATGTTAAATCACGAAATTTCAATTGTCGGAATGCTGACTAAACAAATTTTCGAACTGCTATTTTAATGCTCTAGTGTACAATAATTAACGTGACCAATTGTGACAAGACGGTCAAAAAATCACAAAAACCATGTGACATATTTTACGGATAACTCTAATGGCTGGTTTACACGTAATTAAGTAGATAAGTAAGTAGAATTTTAACTTAATTTCAAGCGATTAACTATGATTAAACACACAAATAAGTAATAAGTAGCAAATTAAAATTTAATTAAATACTTATTAGATTGATTTGAATTAAATTTCATCTTACTTATTATTACTTATTAGTGAGTTTACACGTACTTGATCAATGAAAATGAAATTAAAAATTCTAAGTAGATTATTAATTACCTACTTAATAACGTGTGGACCGGCCATAACGCAAAATTTCTCTTACAATTAAATCACTTCATCAGCGCGTGAACAACGGCGTTAGCATTCAAAGCCTTCAGGTCGGTGTAAGTCTGTCCGGTGCCAACGAACACTATAGGCTGGCCAGTGATGTAGGTCATCGATATCGCGGCGCCGACTTTATCGTCGATAGTATCGAACTTGGTGAGCACTATCCCGTCGATGGCGCGCGGGTTGGACGAGGCGCTGTGGTCCGCTAACGCTTGGTTAAACTTAACCAGTTGATCGACCGCCTCGTTACCTACCAACGCTTCGCCCACGAACAATACCAGGTCGGGTTCGTTCACCTGGCAAATTGACATTTTCTTTTATTCGAAGTTATTCATTTATATATTTATAGTTAAAAAATTATCAGTACAGATACTATATATTTTTATACACTGATTTTTGTTATTTTATTTCTTTTTTTTAATCTAATAAAAATCTGAGATGAAGGTAAAACATGTGCCCACTTATGATATACAAACTGTAACGAGTGGTCGATGACTGTTCTATGAAATTAAAATATCTTTATTGAAGTAGACTTGTTTCAAGCACTTTTGAATCGTCCAAAACAATTTTTCCCCTACCACTTGTTCAGGATGTCTTTTAGCTGACAAGAAGAAGCGAAAGAAAGTTACCAGCTCTTTATCATAAGTGATGACATTATCGTAAATCATGTCATTACCAATATACCTACAGTTTGTTCACTTTTATTAAACTAAACATAAAAATGTAAATAAATGTTCATATGGAATTTTTAAAACTATATTTTCTTTTAACAATGAATCAAGGTGAGTGACCCCATGTAATAAAATTCGGTACTATAGAAGTTTCAAGAACGTTATTACGCGTGCTGATCAATTTTATGATAATGTCGTTACTCCCAAATGGGCCTATTTCTCACTCATTTCACTCAACATAAAAGCTCTTCAATATTATAGACATAAATCTCTTTGTTGAAAACCGTTATAGGACAACCAGTCACAGTAGTTACTATTATAGATCTTTTATCACTGAATTGTAATTGTAAACGTACATTAAAATAGGGTATTTTACACCATATGAGAAAAAATCTAAAATGATACTATTCAGAAAGCTTAGGCAACATGCAGTCGGAAAATGTTACTTTCAGTCCATAAAATAAAGAAATTAATCTTTAAATGTCAAATTAAAAATTTTAGTCTATGATTTTACTTAGAGAAAAACCGAAACAGTACCCGCCATGATATGACGTCATTCGATCTTGTAAACATTGACCAAGGCCAAGGTTATATACAAATAAGCAAGAAGCTTCAAGTAAGATCAACACGTTTATAAGTCGTTTTAATTGAAATAATACCATGGAAGACGGTTTTGTAGAGGGACTTAGTACAAATTTACCAATTTTGATAGTTGGAAAATTGTTTACAATACGAACTGACGTCACTGCCACAGAGCAACGTGGCGTTCGGCGATTTTCGTTAAAATCGCGCGAAATTTGAAAATGAGAAATTTCGATATGGTTTTATTGGCACTTAGCGACTGAATAAAAATTTAGCCTTTTTTTCAGTGATTTATTTAGACCTTGTGAACGAAACGAGACACTTTCCAAAAATTGGTAAAATACCCTATTGTCATTAGTTGAAAGCTACATTACCGATACAATATTGACATTCTTTGGAGTTCAAAGGCGTCATTAAACCATTAAAATTAATGTACGTTCGTAAAAATATTAGTTTATTTTCTATAAAAAGTGATGTACACAATTTTAATACAAGAAATAAAAATAAATTAACGGTTCCTGTCATTAGACTGCAAAAAGTTAATAACTCGTTTAAGGGTCTTTGTGTGCGCTTCTACAATAAGGTCCCAAGCAAAATACAACAATTAGATATCATGCAGTTTAAATCTACTATAAAAAAAATACTTATTAAAAAAGCTTATTATAAGGTATCCGATTATAACAGATAAGAACGCTCGGACTTGAGATGGATAGGTGATTACTTCTAAACTCATTATCTTGTTTCCATTATTATTAAATGATTATGTTATCATTATAAGACATGGTTTTTTTTTTCTATCTCTATTTATAATGTATTGATCTCTGGTAATGACATGGTTTTTGTAAATGTCATTACTCTTATTAGAGCTGGTGAGTTTCTTGCTCGTTCTTCTTATCAGCCAAAAGACGTCCTGAACGAGTGGTAGGGAAAAAATGTTGGACGATTCAAAAGTACTTTTAAGAAGTCTATTTGAATAAAGATTATTTTGACTTGACTTTGAATGGTCGTTTGTGAATATAAAACAATGTTAGTTAGTTACCTTGATAAGTTTAGCTAGTGCCCTCATGAGGGGCTCGTTGTCCTGCATCCTGCCCGCGGTATCGATCAACACGACGTCTATGCGATTGTCGGCAGCGAACTTAATAGCCTCCATAGCTATACCGGCCGCGTCCTTGCCTAATAATAAACGAACATATAAAATATCTATGCACGAGTCCGATATATCAAAACATATCTGAAAACCATATACAAAGCCGTAGCATATCTCAAAGCCTATTAGTATAATATTCGCTTATTCTAATTTTGTCGTGCAGGGCAAAAAAAGATGAAGCTAATAACTAAATAAGTAGAATCCGTATGGGGCTGTCTATTTATCACGTGAAGCTCGAAAGGGGGGGGGGGGGGGGTTCGTAAAAAATCATCAAATATCAAAAGGTTGGAGGGGGGGCGTAGTAATATATCTTTATTTTTTCCTAAAAACGCACGATTACTAAACCGAAAGGCGGCGTCAAAAATTAAGATTTTTTGTAGGTGCTAAAAAATACACGTCATTTGGGTACTCTTAAACCACACCAAGTATCACTTAGGGAGAGTGAGAGTTTAAAAATGCTGAAAAAAATCACGTGATTAATGGACGGCCTAACCTCGTTCGAGGACAAATAGAATAGGGAATATGCACATTTTTTGTAAATGTTTTCATATTTTATACCGTTATATAACTGTAAGAAATATCCGGCACCGTAAAACTAAAATTTAGTAACAATAATAAATTGATGAAATTAATTAACAATAACAAGCAGTTTAAACGCCGGAATTTTTGGCGCGCTTGTCGTGACGTCAAAGTAAGTACACGACTACAGTTGGGCCATTATAATAGGCCACATTTGACATCTCTGATTTTCAACTTCAAAGTAACCTTGTATTGTAGTAAACATATTACTATAAATTGTTTCCAAAGTTGCGGCAACGGTACAATTGCAAATTTATTTAGTTATTAAAATAAAGCAATTTTACTTTGATCAATAAACCTTTATTTAAGTGTAATAAATCTATTTCATACTAAACAAACTAACCGCCGCTACCATGTTATGCAAGTTGCATATTTTTAACAGTAGGAAAGTGTCCAAAATATCCGTAAGGATAATTAGGTCTACATACTTGAAAATTGATTTGATAATTATTTATAAAAACATAAAGTAATAACCACATTAGGATTCTAATCACTATAGTCCAACCGTTTAAATGAGTCCTCGCCCGCGCGGTACAGGGGCGCGGGGTATGACGACAAAGGGGACAGAGAGAGGTGCGGGCGGCAAAATGCGCCCGGCGATGATTTAAATGAGGCGAGGACTCATTTAAACGGTCATACTATAAAATATTGTTTAAATTATAAACAATCTTATTCTCCATATTGTTTTGAACACTATATTATTGCAAATATTGACAAATAAAAAAATGCAACCAGGTTGGATTTCTAACCAATTGCACTATCGAAATCTTTAATATACTCGTATACAATTGACTTGGCAATGGTGTTAAAAACATTTGGTTACATTTAAGAGGACCACTAACTTTCAATGAGAAAGTATTTAAAAACGGTCATATGTATTGATATCTAAGTTTCTAACTTTGCATATTTATTTTATAACATTTTTGTTTATATTTCCTAACCTAAGTTTATAAAGGTGTGCGATATATCCGAAAGGTCTAGGCGCCATTCCCATAGACTGGTATTGGAAACTGTCCCAAAAACAAAACGTTTCTTAAAGAATTGTACCTCTATGTGTAAAAGTATCTACAATAAAATACCATTACAATTTAAAGACCTCCCTATTAAGCAATTCAAAACATTGTTACGTCGATGGCTGTTGAACCATACCTTCTATACAGTGAAAGATTTTTTAAATCACAAGGGATGGCATAGTTGTGGGCGATACAGAGTTTAATTAAATGTTCTAGTAGTTTATAATTAATGTTAAAGTTGACAATTCACAAAATTATTTCAATAAATGTAATTAATTTAAATATGTTTAATATCGTAATTAATATTTATTATTATTAAAAATGGACATTGTTTTGAAATCCAGTTGAACTGACATTTGTATGCTAGTGAAATAATATGGCTAAATAGGTCTAAGTAAGTTATTCATCATCAGCCCATATTCGTCCACTGCTGGACATAGGCCTCCCCAATTGCACGCCATCTATTTCGATTTTCGGCTGTTCGCATCCAGCTCCTGCCAGCCATCTTGCGCAAATCATCGCTCCACCGCGCCTGAGGACGTCCTACACTACGTTTGCCGAGACGCGGTGAGTAAGTTATTAAAGACCACTATCTACTTCATTGTAATCTACCCTATTTATAGCAAATAAAGAATTATAATTATTATTATTCCTGTATCCATAATTTACTCTTCCCGACACCTCGACGATTCGAGGGGTGGGAGGATTCCCCCCGGCAGAGGAGGCCAGACGGCCGGGGGTCAGGGCGACAAAGAGAGAAAACGGCGGACGATCCTTGCGTTATCGAGCAAGATCGCCCGCTGGAGCCTCGCAATCATTGGTCCGTCACGGAGTCCCAACCTCTTCAGATGGTCGTGAAGAGAAGTCGGGACTAGGCCATTCGTTGACACTACGACTGGGATGATCTCAGTGGATGACACTCGCCACATATCGGTAACCTCGTGCGCCAGGTTCAGATATTTAAGTTTTTTATCTGATTCGGCTTTCACGAGGTTTTCATCGAATGGGACGGTGACATCCACTAAGAACACCCGAGATTCCGCCCGGTCCATCAGTACGGTATCAGGCTTGTTCGCAGGAACAGTCCTGTCCGTAATGACGGACCGGTCCCAGTACAATCGAGCGCGGTCGTTTTCAAGAACTGGCTCCGGCACATACTTATAGTACGGCACCTTTTCGCCTATGAGGCCGTATTTGAAGGCTAGTTCGAGATGGAGTATTTTGGCTGCTTGGTCATGTCTGTGCAAATACTCGGTATTAGCCAGTACAGGACAACCGGAAGTAATATGCCTGAGTGACTCACCGGGCTGGTGACAGGCTCTACAAACGTCCTCTGTCCCATCCTTCAGGATATACTTCCGGTAGTTTCGGGTCATAATGACCTGGTCCTGTATTGCACAGACTAAACCTTCGGTTTCCCCAAAGAGGTCCCCGAAGCGCAGCCAATGCACGGAGGCTCTCGGATCCACGTGACGCTCGTGTAGCGCCTTGTAGAACCTACCGTGCAACTCCTTCTCCCTCCAAACGGCCTCTCGGTCAGTGGTGCTAAGTACTGCTGGTTCTCGCCATTGCTCGGTGGCCAAAGAGACAGGGGTTAGTCCTACATCATATGCTTTGACATCTCTATGCAACTCACTGGATTCCGATTTCGCCAGGAAGTAATTACGGAGACTGTGTATCTCGCGGTTGTGCAGGGTTTTCGCACTGAGCAGCCCACGACCGCCGCTCTTCCTCGGGATATACAGCCTCATCACTGACGATCTCGGGTGGTGCATCCTATGGAGTGTCAAAGTCGTGCGGACTTTCCGATCCAGGGCGTCCAATTCGGTCTGAGTCCATCTGAGTATGCCAAAGGTGTACATTAGGACTGGCATGACCCAACCGTTGATGGCCCTGACTTTGTTGACGCCTGACAGGTAGCTTTCAAGCACCTTAGTCAGGCGTCCTAAAAAGGCCCCCTTAACGGATTGTTTCACGTCCGCCATATGCACACCCAGATTCTGTGACATACCCAGATACCGGTATGTATCAGTTTCGGGGAGGGTACGGATGGTGGATCCATCCGGTAGGTCCACTTGGGTGGAATCACTTATCCGACCTCTATCCACATGAATAACCGCACACTTGTCCAGCCCAAACTCCATGCTGATGGAGCTACTGAAATCCTTTGTGATTTTCAGCAGCTCCACCAGCCTCTGAGCATTTGGAGCAAGCAACTTGAGATCATCCATGTAGAAGAGGTGAGATATTTTGAACAATCCTCTCTTCAACTGAAAACCTGTCCCTGGTTTATCCAGCAAAGTGCTAAGCGGATTTAGGGACAGGCAAAACCAAAGTGGACTCAGACAATCGCCCTGGAATATACCCCTCTCAATCTTTATTCGGTCTTCCGCATCCGACAGCTGCACCCCAAACACACTAAGCTGCGTACTCCACTGCCCCATACAGGTCTCGAGGAAGTTTCGAACTGTACTATCGATCTTGTACGGCTCGAGGACCCTCTTCAACCACGTATGGGGAACCGAGTCAAACGCTTTTTTGTAGTCTATCCAGGCTGCAGAGAAGTTGCGTCGGTTGCGTTTGACCTGTTGGGCCACGACCGCATCGATCAGGAGAAGCTCCTTTGAACCGCGGCTCCCGCCCCTGCATCCATTCTGAGTGTCCACCATGATATGATTGTGCTCAACGTGAGCATCAATCTTAGCCTTCAGAATGAATGTCAGTGCTTTGTAGGTGGTACACAAGCACGTAATGGGGCGGTATTGTGACGGATCCGCGGTATTGGTGGACTTTGGAGCTAAGTGAGTGACCCCAGTTGTTAAGAAGTTTGGGAGACTTCGCTGTTCTAGGGCGTCTTGGAATTGGCGGGCCAGGAATGCGTGGCATGAGCGGAAACTCTTCAACCAGTAGTGGTGCAGTCCGTCAATCCCAGGAGTTTTCCAGTTCGGAGCTTTACGGACCGCAGCCAACACGTCATCCGACTCTATGGTAATGGGGTTCATCGCATCTATTGATGCACACGCTTCCTCTATAGGCGCCATCCATTCGCCCTCTATATGCTCCACAGGCCGGGACCAGATGTTCCGCCAAAAGCCAATGACATCTGTGCCATTCGGTCCTTGGCCAGTGGAGGGGCCAGCTCGTGTCTCCCATGTACGGTAAAACTTCTTTTGGTCACTCCCAAAGAGACGATTCTGGCGAAACCTTGCCCCTCTCTCGGAGTACCGCCGTATCTCGCGAAATTCGAGAATCGCCCCTTCAAGTAATCCCCTGATCTGCTCTAAATTCTGGGCGGTTGCGTCGTCTACCCTTCCCGTTTCAGCAGGAGCAGGACTGGCCACTGTAGCATTGGGGTCGCATATGGTGCTGCGCGCAATGCTACTCCGCCTTCTGCTCTGCCTTCTGCTACCGGGACTCATAGACGACACAACCTCGAGTCGTAGTTGGCCGAGTTCTGCTGGAGTAAAGATTTCTCTCCGAAGAATATACGAACTCGATCTGCCAAATTTTGCGCCGTAACGGACAGCGAAGGCTCCAGGGTATGAAACGCAGCAAGCAATCCTGCCCGATAACCCGTTCCGCCGACACCTGTCTCTGTCGCCCTGTAGTACGCGCGCATGATGTTTTCGTTTTGTGGAGTAGTCCACCTCATGCGGCGTACTCCACGAGCGGCGGGGACCGATTGCGGGGTCTGTGAAGACCCTGCCGGACCCAAGCCAGCTGGTGGTGATGGTGGAGTGGGCCGGCGAGATGGTCGTGCCGGCCCTCGGGGTTGGCTGGCTCGCCATTCTGCTCGACCCGGCGCCAGCTCCGAGCGAGCCCTGGCGACCCCCAGGCAGCGGCCCTATACGCGCTCTATTTACTCCACTCATCATAGTATTAAAATAGGCTTGATACATCAGAGGTCGCCCAATTCCCTGATGGGTCCGTTAAGATAGATTGCACCCACAATGACGGCAGATGGAAAAGAAGCACGGACCAACACTTCTCGCCTATGAGTAACATTTTAGGTGCGGACTAATTGCACTGATACGGCAAATCCTCTCACTAAACTCGCCGCATCAGTGGGCGATGGGGTCGTCATTATTAACGTGTTTGCTTTCAATCAGCTGGAATAGGTTGGAATCAGAAAAAAAAGGTCAAATATTAGTTTTGTACATATATAATAGGAATAAGAAACAGGTGGTTAATTTACTATTTAGTAGTTTAGCGATGGTTTATAATTTTATATTTAACATTTTGTCCATTGGCATATTTTGGTAATCAAATAAATATATTTATACTTCCATATAACAAGTTTACTTCTATTATCTTAGTGACACAATTTAAAAACACAGACGTGTTTCCTTGTGTAAGGTAGCTCTATTAGTAAAATTAGTAATTAGCTACTCATTTATTTTTTGAAATTATAAGTGAATGAATCTCTGATAAAGAAGGCAAAAGGACGAAATGTAATGTGATTGTTTGTTTGCGTGAGTTTCTTGCCATACCTCACAAAGTGAGATGGGATTGTGTACGATTAAGTTACCGAGTGAACTCAAAATTGTTACTTAATTTTAAGGCAAACGGTGTGGATCTGTATTTGATTATCTTTTGTATGTAACGATATTGCAAGATCATTTATACAATCGAGGATCTACCATGTAAAATACATAAAAACAATTTGTCATTCAACAATCCAATATATAGAATATGTCATGACTTTAATGAACTTCATAAAAATAATGATAATTAAACAGTACCTGATTTTTTAGAGATGGAATATGTAAATTAAAAATGGGATAGATATTGTAATTTATTGCTTAATTAATCATTTTTTTTGGATTATTGTTTTGGAGTTATTATTATTATTTATTGATCGGAGGTTTTTTTTTATATTCACTTAATTATGAATTTATGAAAGCTAATTCATATTTATTTTATAGCCAACTTTTATTTTATTTAAAATTTTTTTAATTAAGCATGAATTTTGAACCCACTCAAAATTATGATGTTTGCCTTGAATTTGTTTCATGATGTTGTGTACACATGTCATTGAAGTGCAACTTGATATGCTGCATTGTTATGTGATGACCAGTGGTCGGAATTAGGTAGAGTTATTCATGTACTTACACTGATTTCATACAGCGAAAGAATAAAGTGGATATGCCTCAAATCCCGAGATTAATTTTAAATAGCAGAAAAAGTCCCGTGATTTTTTAAATAAAAAGTTATTTACTTTTACACAATTTAAACTACTGCACGCACGACGTTGCCAAACTTACATCAATGAAAGAAAGAAATAAAGAAATTTCGGGAAGGTCCACAATAATATCAACATTTCGATGCAAGTACATAACTAACTCTACCTAATTCCGACCTCTGGTGATGACTTATTTATTGATGTAATTGTACTTCTGTTTATGTATCGAACAAATAAAAAAAACACAAAGTATACTTTAAAAAGTACTCATCTTCGCAATTAAAAACTTTTTTCAGCGAGTACGAAAATGTCCGAATACCGAATATGTGTGTGGTGTCACATCCCTAGCACGTACCGTATCCCTTCTCGTAGAGCTGCACGGCGGCGGGTGCGTGGGGGGCGCGGGGCGGGTGCAGCGCGGCGAGGCGGCGCGCGTGCGTGCGCAGCTGCTCCACGGCGCCCGCGCGGAACGTGTCGCACGCGGCTATCAGCACGGTCAGGTCGTTCTCGATCAACCAGAAACATATCTTCGCCAGGTTCGTCGATTTGCCGACGCCGTTCACCTGCGTAGCGGGATAATATATATCGACCGTGTAGCAGAGGCAGACTAAGAAGGGGGGGGGGGGGGGAAGGTACGGTTCTGAGAAGCCTCCGAATGACTGCAAAGTCCCTCGATCACATTATAAATTCGGGTTGGAGGCCCCGCACTTATTTATCTATAAGTACAGCCTGTTATATCGAGGCTTTCCTTTCTTTATTTATTCATTTATTTGATTATGACAACCAACAAGACACAAATGGTCTATAAGTAAATTATTCAGTGCTTATAATATTTAATTGATCCTAAATTTTGCCTTAGTTTGCCACGGCATGCAAACGTGAACATAAATAACAGAACGCTTTCAAATTACATACAATTATTAGATGTCAAAAATACATATACTATTACAAATCAATTTAAATTATAAAATTGCTAACAATTAATTTTTAATCCATTAAGTGTAAAAAAGTAATTATAATTAATTCATTAATAAAGTATGTCTGTCATTGATAAACAACAATAACAATAATAAAAAAAATATGAATAAAATATCAAATTAAATGTCGAAACAGGCACAGATATAAGAGCTCGCACCTCCCGCTTGAATTGCAATGGTTTATTGGAAAAAATGTCAGCGTGGCATTTTGTGTGTACGCTTTACATGTAGTAATATATCACGTGTATATATTTTTACCTCAAATGCGCATTAATAAACCGAAAAGCGGCGTCAAAAATTAAGATTTTTTGTTGGTATTAAAAACTACACGTGATTTGGGTTGGCTGAATAGAGTTGAGTCTTAAACCTCACCATATATCACCAAGCGGGAGAGGAAGTTAAAAAATGTTGAAAGAATCATCACATGATTAATGAACGGGCCCTAAGATACAATATTATTTAAAATTAGTCTAGCAAACTCGTATAAACAAACGGTTTTACTTTCGGATCATGAGCCTCGTCTAAAGAGAAACATATAACATTTTCAAAATCAAAATCATTTATTCAGTCTAGGCTGTTACAAGCACTTGTGAAAGTCGAGAGCTACGCCATCGGTTCGTAAATCTACGGCGGGAGACCTTGTACCGAGAAGAACCGGCAAGAAACTCGGCAAGGGCTGCTTTTTTCTCCGTTTTATTTCATACAGAGCGTCAAGATTGAAAAATGACTTCATTAAAATTTGAAGTCACTTTCCATTACAATATTTCACAATATTAGAGTAAAACAGTAATTTATTATTAATGAGGTGATTTCATTATATAGTGCAAAGCTTATTTTTAAAAAGGTCTCGTCTAACGTCGGCAGGAAAACTGTTTAGTACATAGGATAGGCGCTTTTTTATTGTTCTATCTCCATAACAATTATTTACCCTAGGCACTTTATATTTGCCCGCGGACAAACCAACCGTGTTACTAATTTATGATTTAACATAAATAAATCATGCCCTCCACGGTTAAGTGGGCCGTCACCCTCCGTGTTGGCTTGATTCGGTTTTTGCGATATTAATGTCCTACAAATGCAGTCGGAACCGAAGGCTTTACTTCCGAACCACGGACTAGATCGAAATAATAATTTCTTGATCACCCATCCAGTGACCGATTCCAAAGAGAGTCGCTCGACAACAACGATCGCGAGCCGCGGCGTTTATCCACTACGCGTCCATAAAAATGAGAAGCTGTTTTTGTTCATTATGAGAGTGGTAGCGTCGTTTACTGAAGTACAGGATAGTGTCCGACCAAAATTCGGTTTCGATTTCGGTCGGGTTTCGGTTTCGGTAATGAACCTGCTAAATCTACGAATGAAACCGAAACTGCATTCGGGAGTTCTCTCACGCCGATCGGTTTATTTCGGCTCATTGATTTCGATCCGATCGGCGACGGAAATGTTCTCGTGGTAGAAAATCAACTGAACTGGTTGGAACTTAAATTTAAATTACTTGATTTATGTATTTTTAGTAAGAAAACGATAAAGTGCATATTTAAAAGTATTATTATTATTATTATTATGTATGATAATAATTATCATAAAAAAACTGTATTGAAATCCTTGTGTAGACCTTTAATTAGGTACCAATATTGTGGTATTCGAAGAAAAAAAATTACTAAGTAGAATGGCGTCGCACGGCATCCATATTTGATTTTCCCTAACGTAATCTATCTAAGAACACTTAAGACTGCTAAAACAAAACTAACGATTCTTTAATTATGTAAATCCGTTTAGCGATTCTGAAGATATAAGGTAATAAAGAATATTACATACATAAAAGATATACGCGAAAAACATAACCCTTTCTTTGCAATTGGATAAAAAAACTAAAGACTTATAGTTAATAATAACGTTTTCTTAATTTTTCCCCCAAAGCGTGATTCTCGAAAAATTTCGGTTTCGACCGAAACTTGAGACTCTTGCCGAAATTCGTTTTCGGTTTCGGTCGCAAAAACCAATTTAAGTCGGACACACTAGTGCAGGATCATCCTATCTCGGCAACGAATGCCATTACATATTTTTCAGATGGTAAAATAATCATATATGTGTAATCTAGTAATAACGAATGTCTTTATTTCAGCAGAAGTATTACAATTAAAATATAATTTAATTTTTATCCCTTCTTCTATTTTCGTATTAAGTAATTAAAAATAAAGTATATCGACAGTACAAACCTCATTTCGCTAAAAAATCCCTACGGATGGTAATATCTAAATTCAAACAAATAAAATACTAAAAAGATATTAGTAAAATATATCTCACCCCACAGAAAGCCATCACGTAAGGGCGGCCTTGTTCCCTCGCGTGTAAGCAATCGCGTAATATATCCACGCGACGTTTCGGCGACAGGATCTGAACTAGAGACTCCGTAAGCGTCGCTTTAACTGTTTTGGCGACGCTATCGAAAGTCCCTAAAACCTGAACACAAAATATTTATCGTAAAAAAACGTAAAACACAACTAATATGGCACGCAGATGTGTACCTACGTGCATAAAAGGGCTGTAGAAGACGTTTTAAAATATTTTTATTAAATAGATATACCTACATGAAATATATCTAAAAAATATATATATAAAGAGTATAATTCATATAATAAGTTATAGATTTCTATTATTATTATTATATATAAAAAGTTATAATCTAAAAATAAATTGAATTATCTTCTGTCATAGCGTCGCTGTGACGTCACACCCCTCTAAAACTATAAAATATTTCTTTTTTCATAGTTAAAAATAATATGTGTTTATTTTCGTTTACTACCTACACTCGTATTCCAAAGCGCAGCAAATGTACGCCAATCTAGTTACTTATAACCAGACAAAAAGCCGTCAAGTATTAAGTCTATGGACAAAATGAAATTCATATTTCTTATTTATAATTTTTCTGGAAAATGGATCAGTTAAAATAATTTAAGATTGAAAAATCAGCGCTATCTATTTAAATTAACCCACTTTTTATCTAAAGCACATATCTAGTCAAGGTGTTGGAGTTTATATATAAAAATTATGATCTAAAGTTTAGATTCTAAACCATGAGATTTTCATTATTTTTATATATGGACATTGACGGGTTGGGTGCTCGTGTAAATAAAAGACCACAAATAACTTTCCTTGTGTTATTACCTCAAAATATAATATATATATTTTTATTGTCTCTTTACATGTAAAGGCCACTAACGTGACATTGGTGGAATTGTATAAACGCAAATAGGCCATACATTAAAAAAATAAGAATTTAATTATGCAAAATCATAGACAAATGTTTGATAACAAAAGGGCAGATGATGATGATGATAGACAAATGTTGCCTATCTAAGCAAGTGCTTAGTAAAGCATTACTAATCGTTTCAGGTTTAGTGAAACTACAAACCAGCTTACGCTATTCTTAATATTAGATGATTTTTAGTTAAGCTATGCCTTGTTCTAGGTTATTGAAAACGGGCATTATTATACTAAGACTAGTCACTGTACTAGAAAGTAGGCAAAAGGGTTTCATGCATTTTTTATGTGTTGTAGCTACACACACATAGTGAGGCAACATAATTTTCCATGGGAATTATCCCAAAGGCCGCTCTATAAACCTATTTAAACCTCTTTGATCTGAACTAATATCTATACATATAATTCATTCATTATAACATTAGAAAAAAGAGGGTCATAGAAGCAGCAGTGCAGAACATTTTATTTTCAACATAATTTAAAAAAAATATATATTAGTTTTGTTGAAATTTTGAACGTTAGGTAGTCTAAAAGAGCTGGGCAATTTTCCATTTTTTACGATACCTCGGGGTTGAGATGAGGCCAGCATTTTATAAATTCATCTTTTACTCCCAAGCCAACATGAAACTAAAACTGAAACTATCTGTCTGTTGTTTTGATAAATTCTAACTGTAAGTGTAATTATTTAGACTATTAATGAAGACATTGGAAAAACTTCCTGAAATGTCAAAGGTTGAGGGTAGGTATGTGGGCTTAGAGCGTAATTTTTGTAGGCCACTCGGGCCTGCACCGGCATCGTCCATATTTAACAAAACTTAAAAACAAAAATAAAACAATATCAACTTAATCACGGAAAACGGCAAAACAACAAGAAAGGCAGTAGCATTCACAATCCCAGATTATATATTTTGACAATTATGAATAGACAAAATAATAAAGCTGTACTGCCAAAACGTTTGTAGGAATTAGGCAACGTTTTAAATTTTGTAGAGTTATAGTGACATGAGAATCGTGCCGAAACTATCCAACCCTGCTTCTTTAGGTTCTTTACGATGAACACTTTTTATTGTAATAGTTATTAAATCATTTAAAATAGTCATATACTCATAAATTTGTTTAATAAATAGCTTAAATGACAACAGCTTAAAGTATAGCAGCTGGTATTTAAGTGGATATGTAGCAAATTAGCCGTCAGTCTTAAGAGTAACATGATCATTTATATTTTGTCACAAAGTATACCATAAAAAGAATCTTATTTAATTTCTGTTTAATGCTATAATGAATAGAGTATAGTATAAAACAAAGTTGCTCCATCTGTATGTTGAGATCTTTTTAACTACCCAATAAATATTATTAATGAGAAATGCTTAAAAAAATCCTCTTTGTGCCGAGGTACTCATTAATGTATTGATCTGGTAATGACATGGTTTTTGTAAATGTTATTACTGCTATTAGAGTTTCTTGCTCGTTCTTCTTATCAGCCAAAAGACGTCCTGAACGAGCGGTAGGGAAAAAATGTTGGATGAACAAAAGTACTTTTAAGAAATCTATTTGAATAAAAATTATTTTGACTTGACTTTTGGTAAAAAGGGAGGTAATTTTTCATTAAGAATATTTACTATTGTCAATGTAAAATTTATCAAATTTAATGTACAAAATATATTTTAATTAGATTTTCATCAATATACAGTGATCTAAGAGGCATAATATAGGATAACGCAACATGGGCGAAGTCACTGGCGGTAAGTTATTATATGAATGAATGAATGAATAAATTCTTTATTGTACACCATAAAATATAGAGGAATTACAATTGATACAGTTTAGTTGTACAATCGGCGGCCTTATCGCTAAAGAGCAATTTCTGCCAGGCAACCGTAGGTTAGACTGGACTGTTACTAAATAGACGGGTAGTAGATGGTGTCTTACATTGCGAGAGAAAACATACCTACATATATACATACAAATAACATATACATACCTCTACATATAAATAAAATAAAATATACTATATATAATATAATATAATATAATAAACATATATAATATAATATAATACAATATACATACAAACATTTAAAATAAAACAGTACCAAGATAAATATAACAGGATGATACGACAGCATTTGTTCCTAAAGTGATAGATAGTATTCCTTTAACATATTTTTAAAACATTATAATAAATGTGTACCAAAATGTCCTATTTTTTTCACTCACCTTTCCTTCCAACTTGACAGCGACCGATTCACAGAGCTTGTTGGCGATATCAGCGGCGACGTTCTTGCCGATCAGATGGTCACGCAACTTGTCCAGAACCGGACGCATACTGTCCTCCGTCAAAGCCTTCGATCCCACCAGACCTGAGAGTAAGGTATTTTATGAAATACATAAACATACAAAACAAATTAACTTTATATGTACTCTTCAGATCTAATGAAAAGTAGTATCCAAATATTTTGTTTATTTACATTAAGTAGGCTCCAAAATGATTGGACCGATTTTATATATATATATATTTTTACAAACAGGAAATTCCATCATATGCGGGTAACATAGGCTATAATTTACGTAGACGAAATAGCAAGAATACAAACAGTATTGCAATAAAACCAAAACAAACCCTTAATGATGCTGAACATTCCTCCAGATTTTTTGGGGCTGGGTTGTTCTCGGGCTTCCTCTTCCTCTTCACTGCTGCTCTCTTCCGATTCCACCTCCAGGTCACGGATGGCCCCAGTCATTTTGCCGACCAACTAAAAATATAATAAACAACTGAGCACACCCATAGGTCTATTTAACGTTTCTCTCTCTCTCTCTCTCTCTAACAGTTCTATTAATAAACAAAGTTAAGCGTCGGAGTAAATTTACACTGAGACTGCACTTATTATTAGTCACAAATCATATTATTAAACAGAGAATAAGCAAAGGTTAACCTAGTACGAGGTTCTACGGCAGTAACATTTACTCCTAGAAGGTAGCAGGTTTGCTTATTCTCTGTATAATATGAATTTGGACTTATACTAAAATTGAAATTTTACCGTAAATTTACTCTGACGTTAAATCTTGTTTATTAATAGCACTGAATGAGATTAAATGATAAAGCAAGAGGAAATTTGTTGCAGACGTGTGGAGGAGAAACTAAATGATATTTTAGCGATAACACAAAGTTATACACATCTATACTAATATTATAAAAAGGAAGGATTTGATTATTTAAGAATAGGCTATGAAACTACTAGAGCAATTTAAAAAAAAATCTTTCATCGTTAAAAAAAAATCAATCATTTCATCTATCGGTAGCTACATCATACTCGGGTGACATAGGTCGTAATTTGAGCGGGCATAGCCTCGGGAACACAGCTAGTTAAAAAAAATGTTTTTTTGTAAATTATTAGTTACTTACAATACTAAAAAAATTACGCCGAAATAAAAGTTGATATAAAACCTACTATATCAGACTTCTGAGAAACACAGTTGAAATATTCTGTTTTAACATCAGTACAAAAAGTTGTATGACATACATTAAATCTACATTGCCACAAACAACAGCCACAAAAACAACTTAAGCTCGTATTATTATGCTCATATCTCAATAATTTGTTGTGTAAATTTGTACTGAAATTTTTCCTTATAAGGTAAATTATAATTTATCAAATACAAATTGTAAAACGCAATTTGTTTTTGATACCATTATTAGAATAGATTGTAAGAATTTGTGTTAGACCTCTGTATCAGCACTGATATTGTCCTCAGCGTCTTCAGGTTTATCGGTGCTGAAGTCCAGCGAAGGAAGATCGCGGGTATCGCCCCCCAACGCCCACACGCGCGGCTGCTTCACCCGGTCTTCATTCTTAGGACTTTTAGGAGACTTCCTACATTAAAAAAAACACATACTATTCACTAATGAAAATAATCTACTGTATCATGTTTCAACACAAGATATATCTTTTTCCTATTATTAATCGCAAATGAAAGCGTAAACAAATTTGCTTATAGGATTAAATAAATACATTTGAATAGTATTTATTTAATCCTATAAAGCAAATTTGTTTACGCTTTCATTTGAGATTAATAATAGGAAAAAGCGATCTTACGCACGTGATTAATAAGTAATCTGAGCAATTAATTGCTAAGTAAAGCAATTAATTGCTCAGATTAGGGGCCGTCCATTAATCACGTGAGGCTCGAAAGTGGTTCGTCAGAAATCACCTAATATCACAAAGGGGGAGTTGGGGGGTGCAGTACTATATCACGTGTATTTCTTTTTTCCTCAAACGCGCGATCACTTGCCTGAAAAGCGACGTCAAAAATTAAGATTTTTTGTAGGTACTAAAAAAACACGTAGTCGGGTAGTCTTATACCTCATCATGTATCACCAAAGGGGAGCGGGTTTTAAAAAAATTGTTGAAAAAACCTCACATGATTAATGGACCCTTACAAGATAAGAAGCTATATGCCTCGGTACTATAACCGGAAGACCCAAGTCAATAGAGATAAGTTTTTGTATAATCCGAAACTTCAGAGATTAACGACACCTTTTGACCTTGATTTTTTATCATTCTTATTTTCTAAAGAATTTTCATATTTTCGTTCGACAATTCTGTGAAAACTGTAACCTTTGAACTACATTGTTACATACAACAAAACAGATGATCGATTAATAACATCATATCCAATCATTGACATTACAACATGATTATCTAATGTTTTTTTTTATTTATTTATTAATCTTGGAAGACCAACAGCTATCCAAACATAATAAACAATAAGCCAATTAAATTTATTTTATTAGATTCATGTTATTCAGGGAGTCGTTAGTTTTATTCTAAACAATTTTATTAAATTAATAATTGTTAATTAGCTTGTCTATTAATGATACCCAAAAGCACAGTACAAATATATAGGTAGGTGCACTCGAGGCTCGAGCGAGAAATAATAGCCTAAACATGTAGGGCTGTCGCTTATAGGTTATTCAATCGTCAGAAATGCATTGTCAATAAATCTCTAAAATATAGTTTCCCCGGTATGGTAAGCATCCGGGAACTATAATACAAGTTTTTATTGTTTTTGTTTTAAATATATAGACCAGGAGCTAATTACAATTTTTTCATACCTACTTCATGTCATCAATTAAGTGTTTTGTAAAATTAAAATGAGGTTTAAATGAATTATGTATTTATTCATTTTTTTCCAAATAATCAGGCTATGAACAAAATAAGATAATGCCGATTTTAATTTTTAATAATCATGTGCTTTGTACAAACAGTTTCTATCGATGTAACATATATTTTTATAGTACATTGTCTAATACGCAAATATTGGCAGTATTCGGGCATAGAGATTTAATAAATTAAATTATAAATTGAAACACTTTCGAAGGGTACAGAAAACAGAAAATAGCTACAGAAAATTATAATTACTTATGATATTATAATAAATTACCCGAATACCTAAAGAATGATATATTAATATACTTGATTGATAATAATATACTTGATTTATAAAAATATGAGATACCATATACTCGATTTATAAATGCATATACAATATTTTGGTTTAGTTTTCAAAGCCATCTTGTTTACGTCCAGAAATTTTATAACGAGCAGCAATACAGCGACATGGAATATACGCAAGTGCGGCGTACTAGCCACGACTGGCGAGTTGCCACTTGTGCCTTGAACTCCCATAACTTCGATTATTTTTCTTAAGTGCGTGCGTGTAACGACGCATACGCACGGGCGCGCTCACATACAAACCATTTCCAGTGCGTATGTATGAAGAACACTTACTCTTTGTATTCTGCCAAAAGTATGTTGACAATGTGGCTGATATTATAACCTTGCTATACAAATCACTCCGTTAACGACTTGTTTTAATTTAAAATAGGTAATTTTTCCTAAAATTCCGTCATTATAACACATTCATGTAGTCATTAAGGGAAAACACGTTTAATTAATTATACGTAAAAGTAATTATTAGGAATAAAAAAAAAGTGATCAAAAATTATCATGACAAATTATCAAATAACATTTTTAATCTTTAAAGAATCTACCTGCCCCAGGTCCCCTCATCTTGGGGTATCCGGAATTTGTTAAACATAACCTGTGCGGATCTGTGCTAACAACCACAGATACAGTCTAGTTAAGAGCAACGGCTTAACGTATCGTACAATAGAGTTTTGGTCACTCGTCCATGATCGGATAGAACCATTGTGAAAGTTGCTTAACTTCAGCATCACAGACTGAACGGTAACCACTGCATCATTGAGGACACACATTTAAATATGAAAAACTGAGAAACATGTACTCACTTTACATCTTTTTTGGTCTTTGTAGCGAGCTTTTGAGCTAGTTTAGCTCTATTAGCAGCAATCACATCATCTTCAATTTTAGCGGCTTCTTCTACCTTGCCATTAGTAATATTTTTATTTTCAACTATTTTCACTGCAAACAAATCAAAATATTATAACAATTGCAGTATGTCACTTTGTACATAGTTGGTATGTTTAAAATCACATTTAAGTTGATATAGATAATATATCAGGAACCCTTTTGCATGTGGTTTTCGAATTCAAATGAAAGTATTTCATAAAAGTCTTTATATTAAATTGTTAATTTAATCATTGTTAATATTTATTGTTATAAGTTTATTGACATGCAATTTCTAATATTATTTAATTTTAGGTATTTGTATTTTTGCAATCTTCCATAATTGTATTGTAACATTGCTATGCCCTTACAGGGCGTCACATATACACGAACAACAAAATAATTACCATCTTATAATTTTAATGTAACATGCAATAAATGATTTCATTTGAAGTCGAAAAAATGCCTATGACAATAAATCATCCTTTATCATTATTATTACATATTAGGACAATAAAAATCTTACATGATTACATTATAAAGTACGTCACACGTTAAGGGGGCCATCCATAAATTACGTCACACGTTAAGGGGGAGGGAGGGGGTCGACGAAGTGTAACATTGCGTGACAAGGGGTGGGAGGGTCCTAAATTTTGGTGACGTCACATTTCAAAATATATTATAATCTAAGTGTTAAAACACGAATTTTAAACTATTACTTTATGAAAACCTTGCAAAATATGTGACATCACACTAGGAGGGGCGAGTCTTACAAATGTGACCAGCTGTGACTAGGACGGGGGAGGGGCAAAATAATCATGAAAATCGTGTGACGTAATTTATGGATGACCCCTTAAAAGACTATCAATGAATCATTTTCTGCAAGTGTTATTTGATTTTGTTTATATTATTTGGTTAAATAAAACTGATATCGGTTCGCAAGCACGCAAGTACTAAACGGTGTTAGCGCATTGTAATAGAGTACACTCTAGCTAAGACCATCCGCCGAGACAAAAATTGAATTCCCGTATTTTTTACACTTAAGCATTTGTCCTTGCTGAAAATAATCTGGCAACCCTAGTTGTAATGCAATTTTACGAACCATAACCGTAGTCTTCTCTTCTATAATTGAATTAAATATTTTGTAGTAATCTATCTCTTTAGTACAGTAAAAACAGCTGGCTGAGTGTTATAATCTTTTAAAAAATAACAATTAAAATTCATGAACAAAAAATTTAACAAAACTTGCCACATAGTTGAATATGAAATTTAGCACAGTTAAATTTGATCTGTGTTATTATCCACTATAAGTCAACATGATCTCAATTTAAGACCATGTTCACTTATAGTGTTAGTAACTAGAGATGTGCCAATTATTCATTTGATTTTCGGTATTCAGCATCTTTTTTGCTATTATTCGGCCATATTTGAGTTTGAGTACTTATGTTTTCTTACCTACACAACACGATATAGAACTAAAAGACAAAACTTCTTTTGTAAAATTTATGTTATATTATTAGTCAAAAAATCCTATGAAATCATAAATATTTATTAACATACAATAAATATTTTTAAACTTTGAATTAATATTTTAATACCGTTTAAGAAAGAATTAACAAAAATGGACAATATAACAGAGATATATAGAAACAGAAAGACACTATCAAAATATAATAGTAATCTGAGATAAAATAAAAGATAAACAAAAAGAAATTTAGATATTCTAATGTTTATAATTAATTAAGGGTAACTCAGTCCTCTTTGGCAAGAGTCTATTGTATTTTCTACATATAGGTTGCTTGCTCCCAAAATAATTGTTCAATATACACATTCTATACTACCGGAAGCAGTGAGTAACCCTCTCGCTAAATAAAAGCAATTGATCTCTGGTTTAAACCAAATAATAACTTTGGTCATCAATTTATAATAGGACAGAATATCAAAAGGACAGTCAATTAACAAAAAAAACATTACACACACAACCATGTTAATATAATTTTACAAGCTAAATCTAATTATTAAAACATTGTTGAGTGCACCCTGTTTTGTATTTAGTCGGTGTCTTAGCAATTCATACTTTACATACCTGATTTTTTACTTTTTTCTTCACCTCTACGCTCTATCATAGAAGCAACAGTCTTTTTAGATTTTTGAGAATCTTCAAAAGTTCTCATTTGCTTAGGTAGCTTTGCTTGAGATTTAGCTGTGACAGATAAAAGTTACTTTAAAAGTAACTCATAACTAATGTTTTTACATAATATAAACAAACAGTATACAGCTATGGGGATCAATTAAATGTTAATAATTACAAAACTTAAAAACATGTTTATAAATCATAGTAAATATGTTGTGGGTTGTAGAAAATATAGAAGTTCATGAAGTTTCGCACAGATACCACTACAGGGTTTTGACCGGTGTATATCACTGCAAAAATGCCATATATTATCTATTAACGGGAAGGAAAGGAATGAAAAAAACATATATCAAAAGTTTCAAAAACAAATTGTTATAAATAAATATTATTAAACAGAACATTTAAATATGACTATTTTTACAATAATATAATTAAATAAGTTTGTTAAAATATAATTATATTTATGTTAGGGAATGTCTTAATGTCAAATCATTGATAGAAACCTTTTAAAAAATTCCCAGACCAAGAAATCTATGAAATTTGTGTCTCGCAGATATTAATAAAGTATTTTAGTAAGAAAATACATACCCCATACTTCACACTCTTTAAGAACTCTATCGAATGTTGATCGAAAATTAAAATCCATGATAAGACTGTTGTTTTGCAAATCATTTTTGTATTTATCCCTGAACTCCAGCTGAACATCATTCAAAAATTTGTCCACATAGGATAATTGCAAAATCTTCTGATAAGCAACGACGAAAACCAGCTCGAATTCATTGTCTAGCTTATATTGAAGAGTCAAAGCATTATAATTAAAAGTGTTATTTCCCGTACGCTCCTAAAATGGATTAGCAGTTATAAATTAAATATGTTATTAGAACTTAAACTCTTTAAGCTGATACGGCATAATACACAAATAGGAAGACACGTTGCATTGCATTAATTCAATTAAATCAAGGCCGAAGAGCTTTATAAACTTACTTGTAGGATAACACTACGAATTAGAGCGTTTACAGATGGCGAAAATATTTCACTTGTACTCTGAAAACACCATAGAACTATGCCTCCTTTACTAAATATGCTAAATAAATCCAACATTTTGATTAAATTACGTAAAATACACTACAATAAGGATAAGTTTTTACAATCTTTTCATAGAGAGTGTCGTGTGTTATTTCGCATTTGACAACGTGTGACAAATTTTTTTGACAACAAATTGACAACTCACAATGATAGTAACTTTCTTTTAAGACAAAAGCATATAGCTTATATAGCCTAGTTTTCGTTTTTAAGTCTTTCACCTTAGGTAAAGACTTAAAAACGTGTTTAAAATTTTTACATATTGAAAAAAAAATGCCTTTGTTTTGACCCTCACCTTTCTCTACCAGAAATTTTATAAACTTTATGGTGCTATAATGCAAAACTTATCTCCCCCTTCGTTAAATATCGTTTTAGACGGATTAAGAGAAAAGCTAACATTATAAACTTTCAATTACCAAAGTAACGTACAAATCAAATGCAATCAAAAATGAAAATAACTACATACATCATACTTCTAAGGGTTTTATCATTGTCAAAACTTGAATTTATAAAGTTCGACAGAAAAAATGCCCTTAAAATATTACTATTTTCAAAAAATCCACATATAAAAATGTTTTTTATTATGAATCAGTCTCAAGCGTTAAAATAAACCTCCCGATTGCGTTCTTTGCATTATTGATTTCCAAATAAAATAATTATTATATCATTTTCATAGGTACTCTCTTTCACATATTCCTTCTCGTTCACATCCCAATTTTCTTTTCACTATAATATCCTAACCGGGCTATGAGTCTTTTCTACAAACTACATACAGTCCTTTCATCTTCATTTCAATCTTGAAGCCAAGGCCGTTAAAAAAAAACAATATATTAAGAAAAACGTCGTTGTGTTTATGGTATGATGATACTTCATTTTGTCAAATTGTCAATCGTCGCAGTCATTTTATAGTTTTGTGCATGTTACTGAGGAAATAAGAAAATAAAAGAAGCTAAATTTCTAACAAAATGAATATTACATCAGCTGCGGGGATTATTTCCCTGTTGGACGAGCCCATGTCAGAGGTAAAGGAATTTGCATTAAAAAGATTGGACAACATCGTCGATGAATTTTGGCCAGAGATATCAGAATCGATTGAAAAAATTGAAATTCTTCACGAAGACAAGGTGTTTTCTCAGCACCAACTAGCTGCCTTGGTTGCCAGCAAAGTTTATTATCATTTGGGTGCATTCGAAGATTCCCTGACATACGCGTTAGGAGCTGGCGATTTGTTCGATGTTAACGCACGAAACGAATATGTGGATACGACTATCGCAAAAGCTATTGATTTTTATACGCAAAAAAGAAAACTGCTCTTTGTAGACAATACAGGAGAACCCATAGATCCACGGTTAGAAGCAATTGTTAACCGTATGTTCCAAAGATGTTTGGATGATGGTCAGTACAGGCAAGCACTCGGTTTGGCTCTAGAAACTCGTAGAATGGACATATTCGAAGAATCCATCATGAAGTCTGATGATATATCAGGTTAGTATATGAAACTAAATTTTTTCTTTTGTCTACACACCTAAAAACATTTTAGACTATACTGTACATTATTATTATATTACCATATAACTTGGAAATTCTTATTTTTTAGTAAAACTTATTATTTATTTATATAATTTACTTCTTAGTTATTACATTATTCTGTGCTTGTTAGTTATATTTTCTTTGTCCTCTTTTAAAAAGTACTAGTCTAGTGACTATCCTTCTTCATGCCTTCTGATTTCATACAAAACAATATGAAAGGGAAAGGAATAATACCATAAATGTCTATTAATATGATGTGAGTAAATATAACTGGACTAAATTATTTCAGCATAAGTCTATAGGTCCATTCTTTAAACTCCTTCACACCAAACTGATTTAGCTTCATACTTCACTGTTCATACATGTTCAGTTCATGCTAGACTCTGGAACTCACTACCTGCTGATATACGTGACAGTCACACTAGTTCTTTGTTAAAAAAAAAGTGAAGGATCATTATATTTCCTATTGTTGATATTGGAGAGTGTATTTATATAATGTGGATATTATTATTTATATAATGTTTGCACAATAATGTATGTTATTAATTTTTAAATCTCTTACCCTGTATTTATATTTGTTAATATACCATATTAATTTTATTTAGGAGGTACACTACCTTATTGTATTTTTTTTACTGTTGTGGGCCTGCTGGTTTTCAATTTGAATTATGCAGTGCCCTTGTACTAATGTCTGTTACATTTATTCATGTGAAATTGTATGTGTGTACAAAATAAATAAATAAAATAAAATCTTTATGCATGTAATTGCTTCGTTTACAGGTATGCTGCAGTATGCCTTCACAGTTGCAATGAGCCTGCTGCAGAATAGGGGCTTCCGTAGCACAGTACTTCGCTCTCTAGTGGGGCTCTACAGAGGCCTCAATATACCAGATTATGTTAATATGTGTCAATGTCTTATTTTCTTAGAAGATCCACTATCAGTAGCTGAAATTCTAGACAAACTCACTCATGGGCCCCAAGAATCAGTCCTCATGGCTTACCAAATAGGTTTTGATTTATATGATTCTGCAACACAGCAGTTCCTAGGCAGAGTTTTACAAGCATTGAGAAGCACTGCTCCTATACCAAGTGCCCTAGGTGGAAAGCCCCAGCCCCAGGGTGGACCTTTCCCAGAGCCTTCCATGGAAGTTGACCAGCCACAGCCTGAAGAAACTAAGAAACCAGAAAGAGACATTGAAAGTTTGAATGATGAAGAAAAAGAGCATCAAAGGAGAGTCGAAAAACTGATTTCTATTCTTGGAGGTGAAGTGTCCATTGGACTCCAATTACAATTCTTGATTAGATCAAATCATGCTGATATGCTTATTCTGAAAAACACAAAAGATGCTATTAGAGTATCCATTTGTCATACAGCAACTGTAATAGCCAATGCTTTCATGCATGCTGGAACAACCAGTGATCAATTTTTGAGAGACAACCTGGAATGGTTAGCAAGGGCTACAAACTGGGCAAAATTAACAGTTACAGCATCTCTTGGAGTTATACATAGAGGTCATGAAAATGAATCCCTTGCTCTTATGCAATCTTATCTACCTAAAGAGGCTGGACCGTCATCAGGGTACTCTGAAGGTGGGGGCCTCTATGCTCTGGGTTTGATTCATGCTAACCATGGAGCCAATATCATTGATTATCTTTTAACTCAACTAAAAGATGCACAAAATGAAATGGTCCGACATGGTGGTTGTCTTGGGTTAGGTTTAGCTGCTATGGGAACTCATAGACAAGATGTATATGAACAACTCAAATTCAACCTGTACCAAGATGATGCTGTAACAGGTGAAGCTGCGGGTATTGCCATGGGGATGGTTATGTTGGGCTCAAGACATGCAGCTGCTATTGAAGATATGGTTGCCTATGCACAAGAAACTCAACATGAAAAAATTTTACGTGGTTTGGCTGTTGGCATCGCTTTTACTATGTATGGAAGACTTGAAGAGGCAGATGCACTAGTACAGCAGTTATTGAGAGATAAGGATCCGCTGTTGCGACGTGCTGGCTGTTACACTATTGCAACTGCATATTGTGGTACTGGAAACAATGACTCCATCCGTACTTTGCTCCATGTTGCCGTTTCTGACGTCAATGATGACGTCCGTCGTGCTGCCGTTACAGCTCTCGGTTTTTTACTGTTTAGAACACCGGAACAATGTCCATCTGTTGTATCACTATTGGCAGAATCTTATAATCCTCACGTCCGATATGGAGCTGCTATGGCTCTTGGCATTGCTTGTGCTGGCACTGGGAACCGCGAAGCCATTGGTCTTTTAGAACCTATGGTTAAATTCGACCCTGTTAATTTTGTGAGGCAAGGAGCATTAATTGCATCTGCTATGATACTTATTCAACAAACTGAAGCTCTTTGCCCTAAAGTTACTTACTTCCGTCAACTATATGCACAAGTAATTTCAAATAAACACGAAGATGTTATGGCTAAATTTGGCGCCATTTTAGCGCAAGGTATTATTGATGCTGGAGGTCGTAATGTTACAGTGTCTCTTCAGAACAGAACTGGACATATGAACATGCTTGCTGTAGTAGGTATGTTGGTATTCACACAATATTGGTATTGGTTTCCATTGGCTCATTGTTTATCACTTGCTTTTACACCAACATGTCTTATCGCACTCAATTCTGATTTGAAGATGCCACAAATGGATATAAAGTCTAATTCAAAACCATCTTTGTATGCCTACCCTGCTCCATTAGAAGAAAAGAAGCGTGAGGAAAGAGAAAGAGTTACTACTGCTGTTCTGAGTATTGCAGCAGCCAGGGCTCGCAGGCGGGCGCATGGAGCTGATGGATCAGCCAGCAGTGTAACATCATCTACAACTTCCAAAATGGATGTAGATGAAGAGGACAAAAAGCCGTCCAAATCACCAAATCCTAATATCACCGTTCATGGCAAAGCTGATAAAGATGGTGGATCATCTAAAGATGGAAAGAAGGAAGATAAGGAAGGAAAAGAGGGCGAAGAAAAAGAAACTAAAGAAAAGAAAGAGCCTGAACCAACATTTGAGATTCTTAACAATCCAGCCAGAGTCATGAGACAGCAATTAAAATCCATCACAATTGTTGATGGTTCAGGTTTTACTCCTTTGAAGGATATCACTATTGGTGGCATTGTAATGTTGAATCATTGTGGTGATGGAGAGCAAGTTCTTGTGGAACCTGTTGCAGCCTTTGGACCGAAAACAGAAGAAGAGAAAGAACCTGAGCCCCCAGAACCTTTTGAATACTTAGATGATTGATACAACCTCTTTGACTAAAAAATGTTATACATAACAACAAATAAGTATAATGATTGTGTAATGTATTGAACAATTTATAGTTATTAGAGTAAAAAAAATATTGAGATATTCACACTTATCTACTAACTTAAATGTTGTGATTTTCTTGTCGAATTAATGATAAATAAAATTTTATAAAATGCTTACGAGTTTTTATTTAATAGCTCACATTGTATTATGTCGCAGGATAATCAAAAATCGAGCTTTCGATAAAGAAGCGGAAACTCAATATTATGGTTCATTTACATTCGCTACAGATAGGTTAAACTGCAAAATGGTAGTCACGAAGTTTAAAAAATATTCGTTCGCATTCCAAATATAAGTAAAAAAGGTATGTAATATATTTTTTTTAGTTTCTCCACTTTTCTTGTTACCTTGGTCTGCTCCCGTATGAATGGCACCTCACGACGCCTTGACCAAGGTCATCTTTGTCAGAGCTCTGGGTTGGCTGGTGATCATGTAGGCGACTTTATAGTCTACCTATTATTAGGTAGACTAAAAAGTCGACCACGAACCGGCCAAGATTAAAGCGATCAACATTAGAGCAATTCTGTAAAAATCCGAACTCTAATTCACTCATGTGTCCGAGTTCACTTCATTTAGTGTAGAAATTATATTGAACCATTTTTGTATAAAAATAAAAACAAGATTCATTCATACATATACATGTCTTAGGTATTCTATATCCCTGTCATTTCGAAACTAACGTAACGTAACGTTATACCCCATTTGAGGTTAAGTATTCGGATTTTATTCTAGGCTAGTCTTACGTAGTAGGAATAGACGTTTAGGAACCTTAAGGGTTGAAGGTTGGGTCCTTACTGTGGTGATGGAGACAACCGGTCAGGGAGACTAAAGGATATAATTGTCTCCCTCCGAGCTAGGTGTTGTTAGCCCGGGGACCGCGGTTCAACCGATGTAGGTTGGACGTTCTATATAAGTTAATTGGTAATTAAACTTATTCTGTGTGATGTAGGTTTCTTTGTTCTAAATTGGTTCTAAATGTCTTGTAGTTATTAATTTATGCTGTTTGTATTGGTACAGCGCCATCTCGTTACTTGCTGTTGAAACTTATTGCAATTCGTCTTGCTATCGATGGCTGTGACGATGCTAGTCTTCTCGCTATCGATTGTTGTGGCGATGTTAGTGCGATGAGTTAGATGTCGCTATGTATCAGTCGCCACAGACGTTTAATAGAGATTTTTATAGGGATGATAAAATAATTAATCTAAACTACGATGGGGGCGTAATATGAACTATTTACATGATGGGGAAACGAATCAACTTTCGGCTTGGTCTTTTAAAATCCCTGCCTTCGTTGCTACTTCAACAACACGAACTGCACCGTCTGAGCCTGGGTACAGTTCGTTGATCCGCCCGATTGGCCAAAGGTCGAAGGTTTTCATCGACGATGAGGACCACATCTCTCTTTTGAAGAGACTGTTGGGGGGTATGTGATTCACATCTTGGAATTATTGTAGGAAGATATTCCTTAAGCCAGCGGTTCCAGAAGTGGTCGGATAAACGATGCGACTTCTTCCATTCCGTTCGACCACATATGTCGTTGCTGGAAATTTGTAGGGATTTTGGCAATTGTTGAGTAGGGAGATTAATCGTAGTTTAGATTAATTATTTTATTATATTTAATCTTCTTTGTCGGCACTGATGACGGTGCTGCCACACGGGGGGCGCTATGTTACCGACAAAGGAGGTTAAATACCTTTTTACTTTTCATTGTATTCTTTCATAAAACAAATTATAATATGTCATACTAAAGTCACCAAGTAAGACGTTTTATTTTACCAACGATTTTTTCTAGCAATTTATTTCAGGTGATTTTCGGCAACAGGTATCTATGTTTCGAAATTTTCAAATTTCAATTTTTTAATATGTTAGTTAAAAGGAACGGAAATGACAGGCTTTGGTCCATTCGTTTCCTGCAAAAATCAACATTGGCTAGAGTAACCATTAAGTGTAGTGTTTTTTTTGTGCTTTCGTTTTTTTTAAATACTTCCTCATTAATAAAGTATTATCTTTGAATACTAAGTATTTTATTTATTTATACTTATATAATTATTTTAGTTCCCCATTATTTCGTTTTCTACTCTTTTGTGTCGCACTGTGCCTTCAACACTGTAACTTCTCTAAGGATGTAATAATATGATCGCATATTTTTGGCACTTTCTGGTAGGGTTCGAAGTATCGGCTTCTGGTATCGATACCGAGTACTCATGTGGTATCGAAGGACATGGTATCGATACCAAAAAAGTATCGCTCCCAAAGTATCGATACTACTCAGTATCGAGTATTTATCTACAACATTTAAACCATGCCAGAATTTAAGATTTTTCAAAGTTCATGCATAGTAAATTGCATAAATTCTCTTTGGACCCAAGTAGGAGACGTTTGACGAATGAATTAAACAGTTTTAAAAGATTCATTTTTACTGCCGTGTTTGGTGGGTAAAATTGCCGTATTTAGTAAGATATGAACAATAATATAAAACATGTTTTATTTTTCATTTTATTTAATAATTTTAAAATTAAAATTGAAATTTGCAAAGTTCCAAACTTAGATATCAATACAAATACGTAAAAGTACAAACAGAACGTGAATTGTTTATGAGGAAGTAATTAAAAATAAAAATAAAGCACTAGAAAACCACCTCCATTAGATGGCGATTCTAGCAAAAGTTGATTTTTGCAGGAAACGAATGGACCAAAGTTAGTCATTCCCGTTCCTTTTGACTAACATATTAAAAAACTGGAATTTTCAAAGTTCTAAACTTAGATATTATTACAAATTCGAAAATTTCAAATAGAATATGAGTTTTGAAAACTAATTTACTTTTATACATGAAAGAAACCCGGAAGGGTGGTCATGGAGAAATCAAGAAGGTACCATAGCAACATCTAGTTTTATTCCGGGAACAAATTTTTATTTTAAATACTTCCTCATTGAGTTTTGAAAATTAATTTACTTTTATACATACATAAAAGAAAACTGGAAGGTTTGTCGTGAAGAACGTACCGTAGCGATACAAGTTTGATTTTGGGAACGATTTTTTTTTAAATACTTCCTCAATCGCAACGCTGGAATGAAACACTATCCAAAATATTTAAACTTTGTAAGTAAATGGTTATTTACGGATTTTTCTGAAATATTATTATTGTTTTTATTTTTATTCAAACGTTAATATATTTCTCGAGCTTTTCCTTAAAAATATATTGTATATAATGTTTCTTCAATCCTATACAATGTATAAAGGGATACATTGTATTGAGGCCAGGGTAATAAAAAATACTTCCAAAAATTTATTCAAGGCTTCCAAAGATTTTTAGGCATAGAAGCTAAACGGCAACTGTAAATAAGCCGTATCAAGCAATACTCGATACCGGCAATTTTTATGAGTACTTGCGTGTATTTACCGTGCTGTAGAATCGAGTACTCAATATCAAGTATCGCTTTTGAAAGTATCGATACCAACTCGGTATCGAAAGTATAGTTCGAACCCTACTTTCTGGAGATAGGTTGGGTATTATGTATAATCTATGGTTTGGGCAGATTTACAATTTTTGAAACGGTCACCCTGGTTGTTTGTTAGGTTATGTTGATTTGACTGGCGTGTTTGTTGTGAAGAGATTATTTAGTATTTAAACGTTGATTGGAAAATAATGGATTGGAAACTGGATTACGGTGAACTTACAAAAGACAAAGACTTTGTAGATAACTGCGAGAATCTCAAGGAAAATTTAATCGAAATACAGAAAGTATTGGATCAGCTGTTACCATTGAAAGAACAGTATGATAAACTAACTCTTCCAGCACAGATTGAACTCGATCTATTTTTAGCATTTACTTTAAATTCCCTTAATTGGATTCATTTACGTATTCAAGGTATAGATCCTACAAAACACCCTATCAAAGATGAGCTACAAAGAGTTAAAGCTGTGATGTTAAAATGGCAGGAAGTAAAAGATAAAGAAAAGCGACCTACTGTAGACATCGAAGCCGCAAAGAGATTCGTCAGGAGTGGATTATATGATCCATACAAATCAGTCGCAAAACCTCAAAATAAGAAAATCAAGTTTAAAGACGCTGAGGATGTTTGACTCTTTTACTTTTGTAAATAGCAAGTAAGCTCCGATTGAAGACTGAATGTTTGTAGTCTACTCATAAATTTGATTGTGTTTATTATAAACATAAATGGAAATATTTCTCATTGTAGCATTAAACATACTGTCTTGTTGATTGTTATATAATTTTAAGATATATATGTATAAAATTGAGTTTTCGTTAGTTTTTATATAGACATAGGTATTATATGTAGTAGTTTTGCTTTGATGTATCGTCAATCCTGTAAATTAAAAGAGCATATATTTGAAAATATCAGTTTATTTCAGTCAGTTATGAACTGACAACTGCCACCAGTAACAGTTACTTTAACCAGTGATAATAAACTCTTGTAACAGGACCTATTCATTCATAGGTGCTAAACAGAACTCTCACTTGTGCACAAACATTACTATTGCATTCACATAGATGCTTCTAGCCAATTGTCAGCTTATGAAACATCAATCTGGAATTTTCCAGTTTCAAGTTAAGAATTAGTTGGCTTAAATTAAAAATACAAAGTGAAAAAATAATGTAGGTACCACTAATGTAAGGTAACATGCATATTCATTATTTTAATAATGAATACTGTAGGTTTATAGCTTTAATACACAACTATATCAATTTGAAAATTGTTTTCTTTCATTTCTATAACATATAAATAAAAATGCTTTTGTTTTTTTTTTTAACATTTTTATATTTAAAACAATAACCAAGAGACCATACGTAATTATTGGTTCAGAAAATGTAAAATATCCTTAACCAAATGCTTGTCCATTCCCTAATAATAAATAAATAAACAGTAAGCTTTAAAGGTTAAAAGTTTAAACATTTAAAATATTTCTTTATTAACTTGTACTTGTGTAGTGAGCCAATATGATTACATAAAATTATACATTGAAATGGCACAAAAGTAAAAAATTTAAATCACATGCTTCATATAATGGAATGACTATAGTAAATAGTGACAAAAAAATATTATTATCATAAAACATAAAAATATACATACTTTATTGTTCACATAATTTTGATCTGATTAAAAGCTTATTTATTTCTCAATTTGTAAGACTAATCCCGCAGCAGATATGTTATCACCTGCTCCAGCTGTGAGCTGTGCTTCAGTGCAAATAAGTACTGGTGCAACACATATCTCTACTGATTCTCTATGAACAACTTCATCCCAACAAGATACAGGCTTTGAGGGCTCAAAAAACACTCTACTGTTGTTTTCATTATCAGTAGTGGTTGAAAAACTGTCATCAAGCAATAATTTTGACTTATCTAAAGCTATATTCTGATTATTGCACACATATCTATGTGCGGTCAGTGATGCTTTCGCAGCAGCAGCTTCTGTTCTTTTCCAGTTTGAATTTTTAACTGTTAAGATAGCTTGGTAAGCCAATGTGTGTACATGTATGCGCGTCAATATTCTATTGCTTCCATGTATCTTATTTTTCTCCCTTATTAAATGGAATATTTTACGCATTTGGTCTAATGCTGTAGCAACCCTCGGATTAGAATCTGCCACAATACTTACTTCTCCATGTTCAAGTATACTGCACAAATTAGTTAGTTCTTGTTCATTCATGCCAACAGAGTCTACATAAGGCAAAACCTTAGATGTGAGATGTAAAAGCAATTCTAGGTCCACATAGCTTGCCATCTCAAAGTGTGTCAGAGTTGTTGCAGGTTGAGATAAAATTTGTTCTTTTACCAATTTAAGTCTTTCTGCTCTTAAATCTGAAATATACAAAGATCCATAAGTTATTTTAATATAAATGAAATATGATAAGGTTTTTAATTAAAAATATGTACCTTGGTGGCCTTCTCTTTTAAATGGATAATTATCCATCATTTGCAGACCACTAATGACTAGTAAGTTAGGATTAAATTTAGGTAAGGTCTCCCCGAATTTCTCTAAGGAACTCAAAAGTGGATTATTCTCATCATTATGCACAATATATCTGTTCGCTCTGGGAGCTTTATATGAACCAAATATCTCATCAGCTTTGTATTCTAATATCATATGAATATCATCTTTGACTTCCTCATTCATTTCATCACCCACTATTTGAATATCATTTGGAATGTAAGATTTGAGCTTCTGGCTCATCTTAGCAGCAAATAGCACTTTCCACCCTTCCATAAAGAATCTCTTTGCCATAAGTGGAGCATTTCCACCGATTGCCCATCTTGTGTCATGTAATTTCAGAGCTTTTTCTATAAGTTCATCGTACAGTTCAGAATTTGACATAAATCTCCTGAAAATAATAAAAAAATCACATTGTAGAAATATGCACTTTATTCATATTTCTGTAACATTTATGCGTTAGTGGGTTAGGAGTAGTTACTTACTCTGCAGCTGCACCGTGTTTGAAGAAGTATGCAAAACTTTTCAGGAATTCTTCTTTGTTAGATATTTCATTGAAGTGTTCTGGGGTACCTTTAAGTTCATTGAAGTTTAACAGTTGCGTAGCATTCACAAAAAGATCGTGACAGGCACCATAACCTAATGCCACCTTGGGCTGTAAATTGCCAATGGCTACTTTGTTATTGCTCTCTAAATTTAATAATTGGTCCTTCACTGGTGACAATCTGATATCGCCGACATCATTTCTTCGAAAATAAACGGCATAAAATAATACACAGAAAGATAAAATAGTTCCGAATTTAACTGGGGCTCCGGCCATGATTCATATAATCACAGAAAACTCAGTTGTGATGTGGAATGTTTATATTTCTTATAATCTGCTACTTACTTATATTATGTTACGTCATTTTATGACTATAATAAAATGTATTTAACTTGTAATAAGTAGGTAAACAAACTTTCAGTCGATTGTAGATTGTGACGTGACAAATTTACATTTTAAAATTTTACTAAAGTTTACCTCAGTGCTGCCAACTTAGTTTTTCATTTACCATCTGATTTACTGGCAGCTTGGTGAAAATGATGTATCGATTCCACCAGGGATGCAGGTTTATAAAAAAGTCGATATATCTAGTTCAATGTATATCAATTTCAATCGATATCGATAGGGTTAAGTCCACAGAAATATATCTAGTTAGAAAAAAAAAGTGTACGTACTTCGCGTGCCGAAACGACGTCTAGACAGCTTCATTGCTCGCCGCGAGGCTCGGTCCACTTTCGATCGCAATCGGTGTTGGACGTCAAGTGTGAAATTTAAAATGACGCGTTGTTCGATAATTACCTGCTCAAACACCACCAATATAGTTGGATCTTATAGTCGAGGTATTTCCTTCCATCGGTAAGTAACTATTTGTCTTGATATATCTATTTTGAATTAAAAATCATTACTTTTGTTGCTCCGGATTATTTTTATCAAAATGATCATGTGTCCAGTAATAGCTTTCCATTGCGGCTTTAATTTGATAGTCCAAATTTGCTGTGCTTGTAAAACCATCGATGTATATTTCAAGGTCAATTTGTTGGAGGACAAATTATCATTTTTTCTATCATAAATAAAGAATAGTGCTGTTCAATGCGATTTTTTTATATAATATCGTTTTTGAAAGCAGAAGAAATGATAATTAATTTTATATTGAATTGTACTGTAATTTTTGTTTTAGTTTTCCGTTTGATCCTCATATTAAAAATAAATGGATCGAAGCAACAGGACTCTAAAGCAAATAGTAGGTACTGGACATGGAAACTTTAACAAACACCTATATAACATGGGTTATTCTGACAGTCCTCTGTGCAGGGCGTGCATGGAGACTGAGGAGATTGTCTCACATGAGCGCTTGTGCGCTCATGTGATACTGGAATGCAGGAGCCTATTAAGACTAAGGACTACATATCTAGGTAGCCCAAGGATACTAGTGGAAGCATGCGGCAGAGTTCGAGATCTTACGGGCTTCCTGGAGGAGCTGGGGTGGCAGGACTAAAGCAACCCCGTGTCACACAAAATAGGCACTGAGTGTCGAGTTGCGGAAAAGCCCGCCGTAAAACATAACATAACATAACAGGACGTAAAAATGTGTAGCGTGTCGGGAGGGGGTAGCGGTTACTGCAAAGTGTTTGCCCACAGAAAAATGCCGATTTCTATTCTATCGCATAAAATCTTTTTTGCGCCGATTCACTAAATTACATTCGTGAGTTCGTGACATATACATAATATTTAAGCAAAATGGTACAGTCTGTCTATAAAGTCATGAAAAAAATTGAGGGCGCTGCGATCGTGCACGTAGCAACCCTGTGTAGTGAGACAAATGATTTTGATAGTAGGTTTTCTTTATTTATAGTAAAATAAACCAGATTTTTTTTTTTACTTTTATTTTTCCCAGAAAAGGTAAAGAAAGGCGTATAATTCGTAGACAATTAGTTTATTCTACATTGAAGATTACAATATAGTAATCGTAATTTTTGATAATCTTTTTTTTTATAATTGCCAAGTTGTTTTCTCGTTTTACTGCAATGTGTGCTTGTGTTCGATTAAAGCCTGTTACTTTGACACTCCTTGTAAGAACACCCAATCTATTTCAGAATTTAACGCAGGACTTCTAGGCTACAATTAAAATCCAGATCGGTTTTGGCAATCCACTGAAGTTTTCTTCATGTAGGTACCTCTTTTTTTCACAGAGTAGAAGAACTGAATCTTTTGTCGAATTGCACAAATTTTGCAGTTAACTATTTATTTCTTAGGACGACTATCTATGTTTCCCAGGGGTTTCAAATATGCCACCATTTTTATAGCCTTCATCTACAATACGTACCACTATATTCTCTGATTTTACTGAAAGTAAGTTTTAAAAATGTAATACCTATAGGTATTTGGCAAAAAGAATGGAATCGCCACAATGATCAAATTAATGCTATAATTTTAGTAATATGAATCACAAACTTTTGATTGGCGTACATAGGTAAAAATCGTACATTCCTAACAGGTATATTTTTTATTCAGATTAAAAATCAATGATAAATTTGATTATCCAAAAGTATTAAAAGTTCGGACCGCACTACAATATAGCCTTCTAACATTTTCAATCTAACCTATAAATGCGTAATGTAAACAATAGTAATTTTAGACTTAAATTCATATATTTAGTAAATTTGAAACTTCTGGTAACCAAAACTCAATCAGTAACACGATTACATACCAGTCATAACTGCCGTCCGAGCATTAACATCCTACAAATATGATAAAATGTGTCCAGCTTCTTGTTCCAATAAATATCACTGAAAAACTTTATAAATAATATCCCGAGCTTCACTCCGATTAATTCTCTTCATTTTTAACACTTTTCTACGGAGTTTAGAAGAAGTAGCTTCAGTTTAATCAAAACAAATCAAAAATGCAAAAAATCGAGCTAAAAAATCAAGTTGTTGACAGTCGATGTACTTTAATTCAGTGTTGTCATACTTGTGTCTAATGTTAGTTCCTCAAACATTCTTTTCATGACTTTATAGACAGACTGTACACGTTGGTCTCCGTCGATCGATATCGTTTTTTCAATCGATAAGAATTAGTATGCCGTTTCAAATACAACATGTATTCGATGCAAGTGAAATTAAGTCTTCCATCACTAAATTAAGATCGTGACGTCATGATACCTACACAAAATGTGGCAAGCTCGGTCTCCATATAAATCGACGAACATTTTCCTTCTAACTAGATTTATTTCTGTGGTTAGGGCGTACCCCACAGGCGACGCACAGGGGCAGCACCCGGCTCCTGTGGGAAATGGACAAGGGTTGTCGCATCAGAACGGGTGGGTGCGACGTAAGAAGCAAGCCCAAACTGTGAAAGATTGAGGTGTGCGAGTTGGAATGTAGGTACGATGAATGGAAGAGGAAGAGAGCTAGTCGATGTTTTAAAGAGGCGAAGAATAAATATAGCGTGTTTGCAAGAGACGAAGTGGAAGGGTACAAAAGCTAGAGAGTTAGGAGAAGGATATAAGTTTTTCTACTGTGGAAGTGATGGCAAAAAAAAAAGTCTGGGTGTGGTGTTAGACAGTCAGTTGAAGCAATGTGTGGTGGATGTTAAAAGAGTGAGTGATAGAATAATAGGCATAAAATTGATTGTGTACAGTGTGATTTTAAATGTAGTTAGCGTGTATGCCCCGCAATCAGGTTGTAAAGACATTGAAAATGATACATTTTAGGAGGATTTTGACTGTTTGATGATGAATGTGCGGGACTGTGAAGAAGTTTATGTGGGTGGGGATTTTAATGGACATGTAGGAAGAGAGAAAGATGGATATGAGAGAGTGCATGGAGGATGGGGATATCGAAGCCGAAAGGAGAATGGGCGATTTACTATGAGAGATCGGCTATTTTTGCATAACTGTGCACCTTGTTGAAACTAACGATAAACGATAGAGAATTATTTTTAGAATGAATAGGAAAAAAATAATTTTGGATTTATGCCGGAGAATATCTGAATATTTAACAGAGATTTTGAGGTTATGTCGTTATGATATCTACGTATATAAGAGCAATAAAATGAATTATGTATTTCAAATAATTGATGACTAACAGATTGAAATATTTAACTGCGAAAAAGTACATACCTACATATATTATAAAATGGCGAGCTTTGTTTTTTTTATTGTAAAGGATAAACTCAAAAACTACTGGGCCGATTTAAAAAAATCTTTGACCAATATAATACCTGACCAACATTTTCAGACTTTATTTTATAAAATTAGTAGTAGTTACATTAGTAGTAGTAGTCAAGTCGATTAATAACTTGAAACTAAGTAGGTAGTCGAAGTTATACTTAGCAATTGCGTTAAAAGAGTTAATTTTAAATGCCGCATAATTTTAAAATAGTATTTGTTTAGAATAAATTATAATTTTGCGTAATTTTAGCCGACTTCTGCCCATTCTCCTTTTGAAGGCAAGGCATTTCTTGAGGCTGCATCTGCCTTCGACCTGGCGATTACAAACACGTGGTTTAAGAAAAGAGAGGAGCATCTCATAACATATAAAAGTGGCCACCATGCGGCACAGATAGACTACTTCGTAGTAAAGCGGCGGAGACTATGCTGTGTCAAAAATTGCAAAGTGCTGCCAGGCGAAGCAGTAGTTGCCCAACACAGACTACTTATGACGGAGGTGCTACTAAGTGTCTCGTCGAAAAATCGCAAGGAACGGCCCCCTCCCAGGATTAGATGGCGTATGATAGATGATGTAAATTTGGCTAGCGCGTTTAGAGAACAGGTTGTAGATAAAATGATAGAAATGAATGATATGGAAGGAAATCTGTGGATGAATGTTGGAATGAAGTGGCGGATTGTATAAGGAGAGTTGCAAAAGAAGTATTTGGAGAATCGAAAGGCAAAAGTTTGATAGATAGAGATGTATGGTGGTGGAATGAACAAGTGCAAAAGAGCCTAAAACAAAAGAAAATGGCATTTAAGGAATGGCAAACCGTAGCCAATGTGAATGTTAGTTTGAAAGAAGAAAAAAAGGGAGTATACAAGGAATGGAAGAAGAAAGCAAAGAAGGCGGTAGCAGTTGCCAGGGCTGAGGCGCAGGAGAAGTTGTACGACTCACTGGACAGCCCAAGAGGCCAAAAGGAGCTCTACCGAATTACAAAAGAGAGAGAAAGACGATCGAGAGATATAACGCATATTAAATGTGTGAAAGATAGTTCAGGCAAGATTTTATGCAATGATGATGAAATAAAAGGAAGATGGAAGGAGTATTTTGAAAAGCTTATGAATGAAGAGAATGACTGGAATAGCATACTTCAAGAGGCACAAGTAAACAAAGGTTTAGAAAGAGACATCAGCATGGATGAGGTGATGGAAGCGGTTGGAGGAATGAAAAATGGAAAGGCCATGGGGCCAGATGGTATACCAGTTGAAGCATGGAAGGTTCTAAAACATGATGGATGTGAGTGGCTGACTTTATTCTTCAACAAGTTGTTGCATGAAGAAGTAATCCCAC